AATAAACAGAATGATATTGTCTGCTGGTGTGAAAGCTAATATAGTTAGCATTATGGTTATCTTTATAGTTATTGGTGTGAACAAGCATTTAGTCCTTTGCAGGGAATTGTAAGAAATGTATGATTCCACATAAGCATTCATTGTTGATTCTTTTAGCACCAAATAATGAATCCTGCTGTAATGGCATTCCACCAATTAACTATTTCAGTGTAGTGTCCCATCTAAGAATACATATAATGTTTGAGAACTGAAATTGAATGTCATGAAACTAATTCGATTCCAGCTCTTTTTTTTATAGAACTGGTTCTTGATTCCCAACCGCAGGCCAGTGTGTGCGAGTGCCCTACAGCACACTGTTACAGGCTTCCTGTGACTTGTGCCTTTGTATTCCTGCAGTCGAGCCTTGTCGAACGAAACAATTACTAATTGTGACACACAAGCGCACACATACACGCACAACACCCTGACACTCGCAGTCCCATCCCTCTCTCTGTGTATCAGAGTGAGTTCCTGGCTCTTGGCCTCCGTGCCTGTGTCATGCTCGCTTTTTTCGCCATTTTTGCTTTTTGATCGGTGGCAAGGGGCACCCTTATCACTGTGGTAACTGCCGGGGGATTTATTGGGGTGGGGGTAGCTGAGCAGCGGTTGCCGTGGGGACCCGAGCGGGCGGCTTTTCCCGCGACGCATGCAGAAATGTCCTTTAAGTCGATCAAAGATTTGGGCGTCTCCGCGGAGAGAATAGGGTCCTTCTGCAAGAGATGGATGAATCGAGTCCAGAGGTCGGTGTCTGTTCTCTCTACCTCCAACCTTTTTCTCTTTATCTGTCGCTTGTCTTCATGGCTGTTTTAACTTCTAATCTCTAAATACTGCATGTGTAAACTCAGACACTGTACACATATTCATATACAGGCCTTAGGATGGATTCAGACGATTTGTGTGCTGGGCAATAAAAAAATGTATATAAAAAAAAGTTTTTACCTTAACATTGTACATTTACAGCATAATGCTAGTTTTATACATTTATAGATTTGTTTCTTAAAGTAAAAACAGTAGTTGTTCACCCTCTCTTCATAACTTGCTTCAATTGATAAATGGCATTTTTAATGTGATTTTTAAAAAGTACATTGGCATTTAATATATATATACAGTATATGTGTGTGTGTGTGTGTGTGTGTGTGTGTGTGTGTGTGTGTGTGTGTGCGATTAGTCATGACTAATCGGGTTGACAACACTATACATAGATAGATAGATAGATAGATAGATAGATAGATAGATAGATAGATAGATAGATAGATAGATAGTGTTGTCTAACCGATCTATCAAAATTGTCAAATCTATCTATCTATCTATCTATCTATCTATCTATCGATCTATCTATCTATCTATCTATCTATCTATCTATCTATCTATCTATCGATCGATCGATCGATCGATCGATAGATAGATAGATAGATCGATCAATAGATAGATAGATAGATAGATAGATAGATTTGACAATTTTGATAGATCGGTTAGACAACACTATCTATCTATCTATCTATCGATCGATCGATCATATATCTATCTATCGATCATCTATCTATCTATCTATCTATCTATCTATCTATCTATCTATCGATTATCTATCTATCTATCTATCTATCTATCTATATATATATATATATATATATACAGTATATATCATCTATGATCTATCTATCTATCATCTATCTATTTATCTATCTATATGCAAACTTTTATAATAGATGTGATTAATCACAAGTATATATATAGGCCTATATATATATATATATATATATATATATACATGTCAAAAATCTGTTCCTGAAATCTATATATTTCCTCAAGAACATTTAAACGGAGAAACTGGCACATTTTATTGAGAAAAGAAATCACTTCTTATTTGTAAAGAGAATAGTGCTTAATTCATGTCAAAATGTCCTTGGAGTGATGCATGTTTCGATGGGAAGAAATTTGAGCAGTTATCTTGAAACAGGCGGAGAAGGCTTCCTCACAGAATGCTTACTGCGATAATTAGTCTCATGAGGAAATTATTACACTTCTTCACTGAGAACAGGAGTATTTATTTATTAGATTTTCGTTTATTTTCATATCAGTTGAAGGGCAAAAGGCAGGTTGGCCTTCAATCAGCAAACCAAAGCTGAAAAAAAAAAGTAGTTTGTTCAAGCTTGGTTCACTCGTTTTGTTATTTGTTAGCTGGGGAAAAGGAAATGTGGAACTTTGTGAATGTGTGTGTGTGTGTGTAGGGGGGGATAATTCTCTCTTTGAGTGCTTTCATCTGGAACTAAAACAAGCGGAAGAAATTCCTCATGAACTCGTTGAACCAGCATCATGGGCGTCTAGGGGTCACACAGATCTGTTTCGCACCCTGACTCAGCTCAGCCATTTTTATCATGTCACGAGTTTGTTAAATTCAGTGGCTGAAGATGGCAAAATTCTGAGCTCAGTTCACGCTGAAGCTTTATGAACAGCATTTGTGACATGCCATTAAAACTATTTAGACGCGTCTCTCAGTTTTTTTTTTCAGAATTGTGTTTCAGTAATTCTCTTACAATGGAAGTCTAAGGGGCATCCTCATGACATGAGTTTACAAATTATATATAATGTTGCACAGAGACGTTTAGTAAGCAAACACTGTGTATATTTATAATTTGCAATCCTTGCCTAATAAGCCCCCATTATAAATGTGCTGAAAACGTGTTATTTTTTTGTGATGGTAAGTAAACTTGTTGAACCCAGAACAGAGCCCAGAGTCAGATGTGTAACTGCTCAGGATGGTAAACACAACATCAACACACTCACACACAAACAATACAGCACTCATGCTGAGTGTAATAGCACTGTTGTGATTTTAATCAGCATTTGTGTCTCGGTGTCTTCCTGTTTTAATGAGGAGCAGTTGTCGATCTGTCCGGCTCAAATTTGATCTTGCTGTGAGCTTGGAGACCAACCTCTCTCTCACCATCTTCCAGTGTTTTCAGACCACGGGATACTTAGGGGCTGTTTACACGTCAAACTTTTTATGCGTTTGGGCCATTAGTTCAACGGCGTTTTGGGTGCCTTGAAAACGCAAAGTTTTGGAAACTGTTTCAAAGTGCCATAGATAGATAAATAGACGTTGCCTTGGGGTTCTAAGCATGCATCAAAACCGCCGCCATCTTGGAACAGGCGTCTTGTCATAGGAAGTAGCTATAACGCTGCTATTTCCGCCTGTACTTCGAATGCATGGATTTTAAGACTTTTGTGCTGCGTATGGATGTTTACACAAATGAAATTTGAACTAGGAAGAATGTTTTTTTTTTCTCTAGACTCAATGATACGTCTGACCATTTGAATGAACCAAAAAAATAGAAAATCGCATTCATGACGATTTATGCTGCTTTTATTTCTGTTAGTTAGAGCTTTGCCTACATTGACGCTTATGGGGCTCCCCTGTTCCATGATGGCGGCTCTATCGACGCATTTGTTCCAATGAACTCTAGTGTATATATCTATGTCAAAGTGCAAGTTTTTGAAAACATTCTCCATGTAAACAACAAAAACGCGAATCTCTGTTCATGCGTATTATGTGATCAGTCTATAGTGTTTCATCGCCATCTACTGGCCTGGTGGCAGAATACAGCGTTTTTAGTCATTTTCGTAGATTCGTGTGAGTGGAGATTGTTTTGACAATGGTGTCGTCTTTTAGCCTGGTAATACCAAACTCTGCTACTTTACTCTGCTTCATAGACAAAGTCTGGAGTGGAATCATTGAAAAGTGTTTTCTTTATCGTGAGGGGGTGGCACTTGTCTGAAGTATAAAATCATTGGATACCCTTAAGCCAATCACATAACGTTTGTTTATGCGCGCATCAAACTAAACCTGTAAACACATATATGATGCGAAAACGAAACCTTCGAGCGAAATACCGTAGTGCACATGGCTGTGAACAACTTTTGTAGATAAGCTAAGCTACACATCCACGGCACAATCGGGGCCTCTTAACTAATATTTGACAGTAGAGAGAACCAGGAAAATATTTGCAGCCAACTTTGTCAAAGTTAGGATTAGTTCTGTTAAAGACATCTCGAATTTGTTCATCTCGAGTCTGTCGGAAATGCTGCAACTTAATTGCAAGGTTACAGCATGACATGGCGATATTTAAGAACTGGAAAAGAAAGGAGACACTGACCTGTCAAAAGAGTGCTAGTTCAAACTCGACAGATAAAAGAGACCGAGATATTCCCTCTGTCGGGAGTACGGCCACAACATCACTTCCATTCAAAATGTTCAAAGGGATACTCCACTTTTTTTTTGGAAATAGGCTCATTTTACCACTCCCCCAGAGTTAAACAGTTTAGTTTTACCATTTTCGAATCCATTCAGCCGATTTTCTGATATTTAGAAGAATATCAGGAACCAGACAGTTTTTGGTCTCATTGACTTCCATAGTGTATTTTTTGAGAGCAGAAACTGTCTGGTTACTAATATTCTTCTAAATATCAGAAAATCGGCTAAATGGATTCGAAAACGGTAAAACTCAACTGTTTAACTCTGTGGGGAGTTGTAAAATGAGCCTATTTCCAAAAAAAAAAAGTGGAGTATTCCTTTAACAAACACTCTTCTTGGTCGGACTTCAGTTTGCAAATGCCAGGAATATTTTCCACAACAGAGCGAATTGCATTCCGTGTCTCCATATCCGCAGTCGTTTTCGATTTCCCCAATCTTAAACTCGGCGCTCAGCGTCTACGTCACAGCTCTCAGCCCGCCCTCTGTTCGTTGATTGGGCCAGCTGTTTTCAGGACGGAGTAAAACGAAGAGACTTCGCTGTCTCAGACTGAGTACAGAAGCTAAATTAAAGCAGAAGTATGAAGTCTGACGTCTTTACGCGGAAAAATCAAAGGAAAAACGTTTCCATTTTAAGCACATCGTTGTCGTGTAAACATACCCATTGTTTACACTCCATAACACTTGGGTTTTTTTCTCTCTCTCTCTATAGTAACGGTACAGCTGGGAAGATGAATGGCGCCCTGGAACACTCGGACCAGCCTGATCCGGACGCCATTAAGATGTTTGTGGGTCAGATCCCTCGCTCCTGGTCCGAGAAAGAGTTAAAGGAGCTGTTTGAGCCGTATGGAGCCGTCTACCAGATCAACATACTGCGAGATCGCAGTCAGAACCCACCACAGAGCAAAGGTAGCGTGCGTTTCCTGTCTTTAATGCATCACACACGCCATCGCAGCCTAACCTACTCACATGTGTAACGTGTTAGCTTCTGGCTTCCTGTTTTGCTTCTTTACTTCCTGTCTGTCTGTTTCTGCCTTGGATCCTCTATCCAAATCTTTCTCTTTCCCAGTCTCTCAATACAAAACTAAGTTAGGAACCCTTAAATCAGCATAATGGGGCACTTTGCAAAATGCAAAGGTCAATGAAAAAAGAAACGACGAAAAACACAAGTGTGCAATTAATGCTATATTGTATTGTGAATGTATTCTTGTGCTGCTGCAGAGAATGATGGGTAATGTAGCTTGGTCGCACTAGCATGATTCATCATTAACCGTCTAAATCAGGTGCGTTTTCATGGTTTAGCTTTATCTTTATTCATCATAAGCAGTTTGTGAAACGCATACAAACGAATTACCACCAACATTAATAGTTAAAGCGTAATTATTATCAGTTAGCGTCCACTGCATATTGTAATATATGCACGGCCTGAACTCAAAAGTCTGAGAAGAGTTTTTGATTATTACGACATTGTTGTGCCGTTCACGTCCTCAGAAATATGATCATTTAGAGCGCTGTAATGTTCCAATCCAGTCACTTATGAGGTTCAGTTGTGGTTCCGATGGTGCCTATGTAGGCGGTAGACAGCGAAGTAGCTCGCCTGGTTTCAGAATAGCGCCGAAGCGTAGGCGTTAACCTCGGTTCTGTGGAGATGTTAACACGCAGACAGGAAGATGGCATGTACACGTTCACAATGCCGCCCATCCTCTCGCTCTTATGGAGGATGAGTCAGGGCCGAGTGGGAGAGCATTACTCAAGTCCTGTACTCTCTCGCACACACGCAGGGATTGCGACGGGTGTGTCCGTCAGAGCCGAGGTGTGTGATTGGCTTTCAGACGGGGTGATGAGTGCTCCTGTAGTTCAGTTAGCTGCAGTTAGAGTGCCTCTCTCAGGTCCAGCTTCATCAAGGCCTCTGACACAGCCGTTGGGCAGTAATGGCCGCCGCTAGCCTTCGGCTCCACTCAGACCCATTTTCATTTAGGAAAAGGTCGTCTGTACGTGGCTCCGGCTGTTAAATTAGAGCGTATTGAAAGATTTCTCCACCAACAAAGTCGCAAGGTGAGCTTTAACTTCCCTCCTGTCTCTCTGGCACTGTCTTTCCCTGTGGCGTCCACCAATTAGAACTGAATTTCTCTAAAAAGGTTTTGGTTTTCCATTTTCTCCCCTGCAAGGTCAGTCTTTCCACCTTTTGAAATGACCAATTAATAGGCAGATTACGTTAAGAAAAGCGTGTCAGTTAACAGGACTCAATTCGAAGTGTCTTAAAGCAACATATACATTGGACAAACTGAGATCTTACTCAAGCTCACACGCATACTAAGTTAACTAAGTAAAACACTTTTACACTTATTTTGGAAATTGCTTCCAACATCTGAAATGTATTTATTTTAGTGCTGTCGAACGATTAAAATATTTAATCGCGATTAATCGCATTAATGTCGTAGTTAACTCGCGATTAATCGCACATATTTATCTATTCTAATTGTCTCTTGATTTCTTTTTCTCACATAATTTTTTCTCATTTTAATCAACATGGATAAGTGGATCGGCTTGCTTTGTGCAAATGTTTTTTTATTGAAAACAACGTTGGCATACTGTGAAATAGAAATACTGACGAGGTCCTGATATTGACGAGGGGGTGGAGAATTCGCATCAGCTGTGTGTGTGTCTGTGTGTGTGTGTGTGTGTGCTTGGCCATCAAGTGGTATTTCAGATTGGATGTGCTTTGATGATGATCGCTCAGTTCACAACGACAAAACACTCATATCGCTTTGGTCTTGTCAATTGAACCATTTGGCAACTTTTTAGTAAAGTATCTCACGCTCGTCATCCACTCAAAACGCAACGTTAATCAACTATTTGGCCGGCTCGCAAGCCCAAACAAGTGTGTGCGGCTTGCTAGGTCCGCTTGCGCTTTGGTCGATGAAGCAATAAAACGTGCATGCCGCGTCATATTGCGAAAGCATGTGAAAAACACTACAAAGTTTGCTAGGCCAAAAAGACCCTTAATTGCACGATAAAAAAAATTGACGCCTTTAAAATGGGTTTGGGTTAACGCCGTCAATAACGCGTTTAACTGAGAGCCCTAATTTATTTAATTAATTAAAATAAAATATTCAAATACAAATAATATTCATGCACACATCAGTTCATGTATGTCATATATAATGTAACTATACAAAAAATGTATTTTAAGATATATTTTAGGGCTGTCAATGTTTGTACTTTTTGTTGAGGATGCATTACATGAAGTGTTAAATGAACATAAAGAGTTGTGAGAAAATGGGATCCGCGTTATGTGTGGCAGGGCTTAAAGTGACGGAAGCCCATTAAACCTGCTGCTGTTTGTCATTAAGGATAATCAAAAAAAATCTATTTCATAGAGACATCAGTAGCGTTATTGGTGGTAACTGGAGACTGGCCTTATTTCATTTAAAAAATATATGCAATTTAACAAATATTTAAAATATTGGCTACTGTCTTTTCGTTGTTTTTACATTAATTTATATATTAATAACTTAGGTGCAATTAATTCCAGAAAAAAAGGTGATTCATTTATTTTTTAATCGATTGACAGCACTAATATTTATACAAATGCAATAAATATTTAGAATATAATAAACAAACTTGTATATATATATATATATATATGTGTGTGTGTGTATATATATATATATATATATATATATATATTTTTTTTTTTTTTTTTAAGATGGACAGGAATAATGAATTGGCTGGCTGAATTATATTGAAAGCAATCAATTTTTTATCTTGAGTTGTGGTTTTGTTAGCTTCACACAGTTGAGGACAATATCCTACGCCCTTGTGCCACTGACGTTAGTGCTTTCTGGATATTCTTCCAACCCAGATCCAACTTATCTTCGGTGGACATGTTCCGAACTGTTACAGATTGGGCACCAGCACCCAATGTAAAAGTAGTCACACTCGCAAAGACATCCCAGCGAGAGTGCATAACTCCTGAGTTTCAGTCCCAGCGGTGTAATCTACGTTCACACACATGCTGTGCCAATTCATAGTGGGACGTCGCGTCCTCCACCCCGTGTGTGTCCCTGCCTGGCCGCCGTAGCCTGATCATCAGCAGGGAGGTGCATCCGAACAGACGGCATCACTGATCGCCTGCCTAGCGTGTGTGTGTGTGTGTGTGTGCGAGACTAGAAACAAGGCGTAGAATATAAATGCACCCAGAGGTGAAGAGCAGGAATTGTTTATCAGAGCAGGGCTACAATTTAGAACGGTCCTCGCACACGCACACACATAGAAACAGACCGTCCCTTGTTGATTGAGTGATGCGAGAGCGGTCCAGGGCTAAATGGCCTTGAGCAGCTGGGGTTCTTTAGTAAAGATGTATTCCTGTCTGCCTTTGAAGTCCGTCACACATACACACACATATGCACGCCTACACGCTCACAAGATGAATGGATGTGTTTGTGTGAGCATCCTTTTCAGTCCCTGGACACGTAGCACAGCCGCAGAATGATATAAGAGCGTTTGTGTGTGTGTGTGTGTGTGTGTCTTCTAAGGCCAAATGTAGATGTGCTGTGCTAATGTATTAAAATGTATTCTAACAAATATATGTGTGTGTGTTTTCATGGTATTGAGTCCATAACTTTAGGCCATTGGATAGACTGTCTCGTATAACGGATCAAATACGGAATCTGGGAAGTAATTTTCGTTTACAGTCAACACGAAAACCATATCCCTGTTATACTTCCATAACATGGCGCGTTTTTGAGTGAAACGAGATGTAAAACGTTAAAGGCGGTTGGTTTTGTCCATCAATATGATGATGTTATGAAATCCTCCCGTCAGCGAGTCTCAGCACGAGTACGAACGGTCACGGAGCTCTTGAGGCGGTTGTACGGCTCGTGGTTTTATCCTGTCTTATCCGTCTCAGGTGAGACTCGGGCTTTCAGACCGTACGTCAGCAGTCCTGCCACGTACGGATGTGGAAAACACGACGGTTCTGACCTCTTTGCCTGGGATTGTCAAAAGTTTCCAGTGTTGGAACGCGATTAAACACAAACCGCTCTCAACAGCCAAGGAATGAGTCGCTGGCAGAGTCCAGAGAGGCTTCATTTCCTTCACTTTTGCTGACAACACAAGCACGAACAAGATCTTATTGGCTGACTGTTTCATACAAGCGTATTAGCTTTGTTTTTAATTTTAAAAGCTTTTGGATATCTATGGTCTGATTCCATAGACAGGGTTTAGATTAAGCCTGGATTAGACCTTAGTTCAATTAGGATAATGTATAGCTTTTATAAATGTGCCTTAGAAAAAAAAAACACTAAAAAAAAAGAAACATTACTGGTGTGCATCTTAAAGGAGTAGTTCACCAAAAAAAAAAATCTTTTACTGATAATTTACTCACCCCCATGTCATCCAAGATGTCCATGTCTTTCTTTCTTCAATCGAAAATAAATTAAGGTTTTTGATGAAAACATTCCATGATTTTTCTCCATATAATGCACTTCAGTGGGAACCAAACGGTTCAAGGTCCAAATGAGAGTTTCAGTGCAAACTGCAAACTGTTCAAAGGGCTTTAAACGACACCAGACGATGAATAAGGGTCTTATCAAGCGAAACGATCTAACTCGTTTATCAAAATGAACGAATCTTTTTTCGTGCCATTTGGTTCATTTAACGAATGAACGAGTTGACTCGGGAAAAGATTTGTTCATTTTGATGAACGAGTTTGAACAGGAGAGTCACGAACGCGCATCACAGAGCAGAGCAAGGCGAGCAATTGAGCTTATAAAACTTAAACTTTGTTATTTATTTATTAAATGAGCGATCATTTCGCTTGATAAGACCCTTATTCATCATCTGGAATCGTTTAAAGCCCTTTGAACAGTTTGCAGTTTGCACTGAAACTGTCTTTTAGACCTTGAACTGTTTGGTTCCCACTGAAGTCCATTATATGGAGAAAAAAGCTGGAATGTTTTCATCAAAAACCTTAATTTCTTTTCGACTGAAGAAAGAATGACATGGACATCTTGGATGACATGTGGATGAGTAAATTATCAGCATTTTTTTTTTAAAGTGAACTACTCCTTTAAGACAAAAAAATGTAAAAGATATGCCAGTGAAAGTTGCTTACCATCAAGTCCACTACCATTTTACTATATTTGTTTTTTGTATACCTCTAATATCACAGCCTTATGTCCGCTACAGTGCATGTGAAATAGACTGATTCTCTCTCTCTCTATCACATTATATATAATATATTATTAATTAAAGTCTAATAATATTAATTATTATCATTATTTTCCCCTTCCTAGCTCTGTACTGTAGTTTGTTAAGCCACATTGTACATTGGTACATGAATTAATCAACTAATGTTAGGTCACAGGTTTGTGGATATCAGCTATTTTATAACAGGTTTGAACATGGCTCATCCGTCATAGCTATCTCATTTCTTTACTTTCATCTTTACCTTCACTGGTCTTACTAAACTGTACATTGTGTTTCAGGTCTTGATTCAGTGGAGGGTTACTCAACACTATGGAGTATTATGGGCTCATGTAGTATTACTGTTAGAGTTGCGGTGGAGTGTTTAGGCTCATGTGGTATTAACTCAAACCCCTGTACACAAAATGCTTGTGAACACTCCCCCTATCTTTCACAAGTGTTTCATATGTATAGGACATCTTGATTTTGAAACCAAATTGTTGTCTATCATTTATAACCTTAAATATATTTAGTCATAAAGTCTGGTCCTAACTAAAGCTCATTCTTGAACATTTTTTAAATTGTAAAGCGATTCCAATGATATATTTATTCCTTTCTGTTAACGTTATAGTTGAGGTGTGGACTAGTCTACGTAAGACTACGTGTTCATTTAGTAGATACTTGCGTTTTGAGGTTCCTATGGTATCCTAGTTTAAGTTTTTGAGACCCCTGGGGTCAGTGTTTATCTTCAGGCACAATGATGATCGATCTGAACTGGGATCTCATAAACACTTCAGTTCCTGGGTCACCCTTAATTGGGATTGAACCTGCAACCTTTGTGTTAATGGCCCAGAACCATTCAGCCCCCCGACCACAACCATTTTCAATGTTGACTGATGGGAATGTTTCAGGCATATTGGGAGTTTAAATGTGTATGATCTCTTACTGATGTGTGTGTGTGTGTGTGTGTGTGTGTGTGTGTGTGTGTGTGTGTGTGTGTGTAACACTGGGAACAGGGTTGTTTTGGCCATAGACTGGACTTCACTGTTGCCAGGGATGAGTGAGTCCTTAGTTTATCCTGCCAAAATCCTCCCTGGCAGTAAAAAGGGGATTCAGTTCACCCTTTTTTTTCTTGTTCCTCTTCTCTTTTCTCTCTAAATAAAACATGCAAGCACTCTCAGCTTGCTTTAGCCGCACGCACACACACACATTCAAAGATCCCAGCTGATTCTTTCTGTTAGTCGGTGTGTATGTGCGCTTCTGCACTCCAATGCCCATTCAAGGACACACACTGTACATATAGTTGTTTTTATTTTTCTGATGAAGGAAAGTTTTTCGTGAGCATGTGAAAGTCTGTATATTTTTATTTTTGCAGAGGTCCCCCCTTGGGACTCTGTATATTTAAATTAATGAAAATTGTTTTAGTCTTGGTTTTGGTCAACAATAACAGCAATGTCTGTGTAACACAACAATAAAAACACACCTTTGCATTTGGTTGGCCTCACAGGCTACACAGAAAAACCTGACGTGACCTAGTCTGATTCATAAGCAAATGACATGAGCGAAATCGATCGAAATGAATTAAAATCGAAATCGATCGAAACGAATTAAAATCGAAATCGATCAAAATGAATTAAAATCGAAATCGATCAAAATGAATTAAAATCGAATTCGATTGAAATGAATTAAAATCGAAATCGATCAAAACTAATTAAAATCGAAATCGATCAAAACTAATTAAAATCGAAATTTATCAAAATGAATTAAAATCGAAATCGATCAAAATGAATTAAAATCTAATTCGATCGAAATTAATTAAAATCGAAATCGATCGAAACGAATTAAAATCGAAATCGATCAAAATGAACTGAAATCGAAATCCTCCATTTTGCCTCGTCTACACTAAAACGCCCTTCGGAGATTCAAAACGCAAAACGGTGCTGCCACGTTTCTAAACTTCTCCGTTCTTTGTTTTTCCCGTTTTAGTCTGGACGGGAGGTGCAAACGTAGCAAAAGGTCTCTGTTTTGAAACGAAAATGCAGTAGTGTGGACGGGGTCTAACACTTCCCTACTATATAGGACACGAAAAACAGTACGCTAAAAGAGTGGTATGTCTGAATATATAGTATTCGAAAAACAGTTGGCGAAATGTTCTGGAATGACTGGTAAGAATATTGTGTACTACCATCGAGATTCTGAAGTACACATACGATGGATGCTTTACTATCCCATGAGGCCATGGGAGAGGATTAATTAATGGTAGTGCAGCGACGTAACTGACAAGGGTTGGTCACATGATAAATACCATGGTGGATTCATACTACACACATTCATACTTTTTTAACCACCATTAAGTAAATCCAAATTCAGTTCTTGCACCTGCTCGAACAGTATGCGATTTCACACACAGAATATGTGGGTAGCCCCGCCCACAGTGAAATCTCATTGGTCCAAAATCCCGTTCCACATGGCTGTTTATTAAGCGCCAAATCTTAGGCTTTTTCCTCTCACTTCGGTTCTCTTTCTCTCCCTCGCCCCTCATCTTTTCTGTGGTGTAGTTTGGCAGAGATCTGTGTGACAGCAGTGAGATTGTATTCTCTCTCAGCAGGTAGTGAGACGAAAAGAAAAAGATCAAATTCACTTGGCTTATTGCATGCTTAAAATGCTTACCTCTCTCTTTCTTTCTTTCTCTCTCTCTCTCTCTCTGTCTGTTTCCCAGGGTGCTGTTTTGTCACATTCTACACACGGAAAGCTGCCCTGGAGGCCCAGAATGCACTGCACAACATAAAGACCTTAACTGGGGTGAGTGTTTGTTTATCTGCTCATGTCTGTCTCTCTCTGAACGCTAGCGAGGCAGAGAATTCCTCACTCAAACGACGACAGTTTCAAGTTTTTAATCTGCTTTCCTTTTGTTAGGGGTGGTAATTCAGGAAAATGTATGAAGTCGGGTTGAGGAAACGGTAATGAGTTTATAGTTTGCGCTCAATGACGTAGCGAGCGATGTAGTCGCGAAACTGGAGCCCTTGCGCTCGAAATCCGAACTCAAAATAATCACGTTAAAAAATTTGGGGTCGGTAAGATTAAAAAAAAAAATCAGTTCGAGACCAACAATAATTATTTGTTATTTATTTTAAATTAAAATTATTTTAAATATAAATGTTGTGGCTGATAACCAATAAATGGCAGATATTAAAATTCTAAACAATTTTTTTTATCAAATTAATAAATAAAAAAAACAATGGGTTTATTGTTTTGTAAGTGAATTTAGGCATTGCAACATCATATTATACAAAAATAAAATATCCCAAAAAATCATTATGAAATTTGAGGAAACATATTTTTAAAGATTAACTGTACTTCAGTGTTAGACAATGGAAAAGTTAACACATGCTGGTGATATATGTCCAATACCCCTAAATTAAAAAAAATCTCATAACCGAGTCCCCACAAAAATAGCGAAATAGCAAACCAGACTGTGTGTGTGTGTGAGTGTGTGCATGAAACAGTATAGAAGGTTACTTTCCTTTGTAATAAAATGAAATGTAAGGTTGCCCATACAGTCAAAACAAGATTTATTTGATGAGAACATAATAGTGTTGGCAGATGGACTGTATTCTTGCTTTTAGTGTCTGTGTTTACTCTCATTGTTATCTTATCATCTTTTTGTTTAGTTCGAAATTTCGTTTTTCCTATTCTGAACTCTTTAGCCCACGGCAGACCAAAGATGTCACATGAGATTATCATATCAATCGCTGCCATAATCAGGCCGCCTCTGAACGGCGTGTGTGTGTGTGTGAAGGCTAATGTAGGACATGTCTGTTAAAGTGTCCTCCAGCTGTGAACGAATTCATCTCCTTCTCTTTCTCTCTCATTATGTGATTGTACATTAATTCAGTTCACTGAAGACTGCTCTCACTCTACAAGATCAGTTTAGTGTTGGCAATATGCTTGTCGTGAAGTTTTTGGTCACTAGACATTTGTATACAGCAATAACAGTCGCGTATGAACAGGTCCAAATGTAATCTGAATCTTATTTTGATGGAAAAATTGCATATGCTAAATGGATTTTAAACATGTTGGGTGAGGCTTGGGTATTTGTTGAATTTGAGGCATTCTGGTTCTGTAGAGATGTACAAAGTGCTGTGATGGCTAATTTAATCATGTTTATTTGTAAAACATAATAAAAAAATAGCAAAAGTAAACAAAATAACTAAACATTTATTGTACTACTAACATGGACACAAAATCTAGTGCCGAGACACTCCTTATATATCCCTATTGCCCTATTTGATTGAGTTGTTTAAAACATTTCCACCGTCGAGTGTGTCAGTATGTTTTCTGTATATAACTTGGACAATTTCACCGTCTGAATTGGTTTCAAGGTTTCGCCTGGTCGAGATTGTTTCCGAGTGTGTGCGTGCGCTCCATTAAATGTAGTTGCAATATTTTTCTGTTTAAAATTAAATATCATTCACTGCTGCTGCTGTGTGTGTGTGTGTGTGTTCAGGAAAGTGTAGCAGCTTATATATTCCCCACTGTGTGCCCATCTGTCTGACTCTTGTGATCTTTCACCCAAACACACCTTGTGTCATCAAACCACTGGACTACACACTCAATCATGAAAAAAAAAGGTTTTCGTGCGATATCCCCCCATTATCAGAACTTGATTAGTTTGTATCACTCCACTTGCAACATTTCTCACAGAGAGTCATGCCGGACAAGCAGTAAACCACCATCACTTGTTGTTGTGTCACTGAATGTAGTTTTAAAGCAGCATTTTGCTCTCGGTGTCCCCCTACAGTTGGGGAACAGTATTGTCTTCTACTACTGTCCTAAAATCTGTCATGGTTGAGCCCGTTCTCATCCTTTGGCGTCATATAGGTGACGCCATATGAAATTTCGTCGAAATGCCACGCACATGGAACCCTTTAGCGTCAATATAACATGCAGAACCCAAGGCGTCATTCAGGTGACTGGCATCCTTTAGCGTTTTACTTGCTGCTTCAGCCATGACAACATACAGAGGTAAAAAAAAAAAACGCTCGTTGGGCTCTTGCGTCGGAATTTGAGGACGTATGCCATAAAGCAGTCGAATTTTGTGCTCTGGTTCCTACCCGAACCTCGAAGTTACAGAGTGCCAGTAAAAGCAATACAGACACTGTCAGGCTATGGCAGACCTGTCATTCAACCTATTGTAAGTCGATATACCATCTCAAGGGTTTTGGAAAAATATTATAAACGTTGAAAAAACGACATAGTGCTGCTTTAAGAGTTTTAAGGCAGTAATGTAGTTATTTAGACCTTATATATTATTTAGGAAACTATATATATATATATATATATATATATATATATATAAACATAATGCATATTTTTGATGTATTCACAGATTATTTTATGTACTGTAGATAGTGTTATAACATGAGGTATAATTAATTTGGGGTATTTCAAATGGGCTGTCTTTGGTCTTATTAATCTATTTCTTGTTCCAGAGCAAATTGATTTGGCTAAGGGCATAGTTTCAGAACTTTATTTTTTTATTTAACTGAAATCCTGTAGGCCACAATAACTAGCATTGCTTTTGTACTTTTGACTGGACTGTTTGCTTGTGTTTATTTCCTATTGTACAAACTTCTTACATATATATAATGGCTAATATTATTAAATGTTATTCATCAATAAGTAATATGTTATATACAGGTAAACAACTTGTGATTATAAGGAATATCAGCTAGATGCAGATAGTGTACTCGCCAGTCTATCTCTCTCATAATATCATACAATAAGCTTCTGTGAAGCGACTCAACGTTCCTTTGTTATGGTGCTTTCACACCGGACGCGAATAGTGTGTCAGGCGCGAATGATTTCAATATTAAGTCAATGCAAAGATGCGTTACGCGCTTAAAAAATTCCTGCGGCGCGAATGAGGCGTAGAGCGCGGCACGGAAGACATGAATACGCCTCATTCGTGCGTCAAGTTCGCGTGAATGGCACGAATTGAGCGTCTGGCACGTTATGCGTGAATGATTTAGTTAGTGCCATTCATGCGTTTGACGCGAATTCACGTCGGCCGTCCGAGTTGAAAAATCTGAACTTTGGCGTCAATTCGCGCTGCATTAACCAATCAGGAGCCTAGCTGCTTGCTCACGTGGTGAAGTGTCCTGATGCTTTAAGAAATTACTTTGTAATATGACTAAATGCCTGGTGTGGTTCTAATGCACAACAAAGCAAATATTTTATCACTTAAACCTTTATTTCTATATACGAGACATGTTCATGTTGTATTGAATGTTATTCATTCCATATCTAGATTAAATGAAATAGTATTACGATGTAAAGACAACCAAAATACATGTGCAGAAGTTCGTGTCTGGACATGAGAGAGAAAAAAATGGTGAAACTCGCCAAACGGTTTGCCTCCGAAGGGTCCGGTGGACACAAATACGGTGACGATGATCCCCACGCCGCTGTTCTAGTTCTCTCGATGAATGCTTGACCATCAAAAAAAGATGGCCGCCAACGGGTTTTGCTTTTGACTCGTGAGACGTGTGTAAATTTCACTTCAAACTTTTGATTTTACACACGTCAGTTTCGCTCTTGACGCGCGAATTAACACAAAGTGGTCTAGACACGGTAGACGTGAATTTGACGCGCTATTCGCTTCTGGTGTGAACGTAGCATTGCTAGTTCTAAAGTGACGTTTTAGAATGGACTCAAATGTCAAACTGTCATCTTGAGATTTGAATCCGTGGCGGATGGAAGTGGTTGTGCACAAAAGAGGAGCCCGTTGTTGTTTCTCATTTATTTACATGCTTGTGCCGTCGAACTGTTGTATAAACACAATATAACACGAGTATCCGTGCGATATCGTGTTATAAACTCACGATTCTTAGAAAAAAGTCATTATTGTGAGTTATTAACGCAAAATTGTGACATACATGGATGAGCCAAAGCATTATGAATAGTCACAGGTGAAGCAACTATCATTGATCATCTAAGAAGTCCACATATTAAAAGTCCACATATGAAATGGGCTGGGATACAGATCTGAGCGACTTTGACAAGGGTCAAATTGTTTTGGCAAGGCGACTGGGTCAGAGTATCTCTGAAACGACAAGGCTTGTGTGTTGCTCCTGGTCAGCAGTGCTGAGAATGTATGATCAAATCATTGGGCCGAGGAGGGACAAACCTCAAACCGGAGACGGGGTGCTGGTCACCCAAGGCTCATCGATGCAACTAGCCACAATGAAATATTAATAAATGATAACGTTGTCAGTGTTTGCTTTTACCTGTTTTACTTTTTTTTGTGCATTGGACAATAAATCCTTTTTGTTGCCAAATTATTTTGTCGGATACATAGCCGGACATCACTTTTAGTTTTGAATTAGTTTTTCTACCGTTAGTCTGTGTCCAAAGTGAACAAATGGCATCGAGCAACAAACTTTGGTGTTTTAAAACTTGTAAGTATTCTAGCCACGGTCAGAAAGAGCGTTTGTGTCTTACAGGATCAGAAGCCTGTAGAAGATGCCGGCAGCATGGCAAACCATCAAAGACCGTGGGTGTGTGGTGAAGGTCAAAGGTCAGAGTTGAAATGAAGTGAAGGGATATCTTCAGTTATTTTTGACTGCTTTTATAATTCGATCCATCCCAAGAGTTATGAAGCTGTCATTCTGTCTTCAGCTGCATATGATCAATGCTTTCAGGTGTGTGTGTGTGTGTGTGTGTGAGCAAGCATGTATTTTATGAGGAATGGGAACCAGAGCATGATCTCTGCAATTAGTGTCATGGCCTTTAATGGGAGAGGATGACAAAATACACTTGTGTGTGTCTGTGTGTTGGACAGATCTGGTAGTATGTCAAAGCTGCTGGACACAAACTTGTAGTTTTTATCCACAAAGCTGAAGGTGTTACAAGAGAAGGATAGACTTTGAGAAATAGAAGGAATAAATAGATAGGATATAAATAAATAAATAAATAAATATATTACATATTAATATTAAAATATTCTGACTTAAACATACGAAAAACTATGTAGTCAAAAATCCTACATGATACAACACCTTAAAAACAAAATGCTGAAGATACAGCGTGACACAATGAAACCTCCAAAAACATCTGTCTTGACACGTATATGCATAGACTGACTATTAAAAAACAGAGCAAAAATTCGTTGGATGGAGATTAAGAGAAGAAGAACAAGTACTCGAGAGAAAGATGGAAAGCAATAAACATTACATCTGCAAAGTGCTGACAAATCACCTTCATCAAACCCCGACACGGGTACGTCTTCATTCCGCCAGCGTCTATCGAGATGAAGAATTGAGTCAGCGGAAAAAATGACGACACATTAACGAGATTACAGCGATAATGTAGAACATCAGTGCGCCAGTGAGACGAGCTTGATTATGTGCTGGCGTGAGCGTTAATGAGTGTGTTGTAGTAAATGTGCTGTTTGTGTAAATGTAACCCGTGTGTGTCCTCCTGTGTTTCAGATGCACCATCCCATACAGATGAAGCCCGCAGACAGTGAGAAATCAAATGGTGAGTGTCTGTGTGCGTCTCTTGTATTTCTCAAGTCGTCCGACTGTGCGTTTGTTCTGGGGGTTTGTCTTTGTGGTTGTGTCTGTGTGTGTGTGTGTGACTGGGAGATGGCTGAATTATTAAAACCCAGGAGGGCCGCGAGGGTCAAGAATAGTTTAAGTGTTTGCCCTGGTAGTGAACCGCACACGTATACACACACTCAAATAAGCCATATCACTCACAAAAAGATTGTGTAGATGTGGTTAGGAAGTCCTCGGAAAAGAAGCTGCTGCTTGACCAGGGGATTTGCGAAGCTCTTTCAGACTTGACAGCCGAATGACGACGTAACTTTGAAGACTATCATGTTACTACAAACATGCTGTAACATGGTTTTACTGCAGTTTACTAATTTTACTTTATATACAGCACCATACAAAAATTAGGGGTCAGTAAGATTTTATGATGTGTTTGAAAGAAGTCTCTTATGCTCACCAAGGTTGATTATTTGATCAAAAATAAAGTAAAAACAGCTATTGTGAATTATTATTACTAGTGCTGTCCAATCGATTAATTCCATTTAACATAAAAGTCTACATAATATGTGTGTGTGTATATGTGTATATATATATATATATATATATATATTACAATATGTACATTATATGTATATATATATACACACACACACATATATAGTATGAAAACTTATGTTAGATTTGATTAATCACAATTAATCGTGATTAATCGATTTGACAGCACTAATTATTACAAATAAATATTTGTATTTCTGTGTTTTTGTGTCTGTGTGTATATACACACACACACGCACACACACACACATAGTATGAAAACAAAAACTTTTATGTTGAATGCGATTATTCGTGATTAATCAATTTGACAGCACTAATTTTTACAAATAAATATTTGTATTTCTGTGTTTGTGTGTCTGTATATACAGTGTATATATGTATATATAGTATATACACACACACACACACACATATATAGTATAAAAACAAAAACTTTTATGTTAGATGCGATTAATCGTGATTAATCGACTTGACAGCACCAATTATTACAATTAAAATATTTGTATTTCTGTGTTTGTGTCTGTATAATTATACACACACACACACATACATATTATAAAATCAAAAACTTTTATGTTAGATGCGATTAATCGTGATTAATCGATTTGACAGCACTAATTATTACAAATAAAATATTTGTATTTCTGTGTTTGTCTGTATATATATATATATACACACACACACACACACACACACACACACACATATAGTATGAAAACAAAAACTTTTATGTTAGATGCGATTAATCGTGTTTAATCGATTTGACAGCACACCAGTTATTACAATTAAAATATTTGTATTTCGGTTTTTGTTTCTGTGTATATATATATATATACATACACACACACACACACACATATTATGAAAACAAAAAAATTAATTTATCGATTTGACAGCACTAATTATTACAATGGGCTATATGCACGCATAAGTTCCGCATTTGACGTAAGGATGCTCGTCCATTTCCGGTTGTGTAGATTAAAGCGGAGGAAAACCGGAGAAAACGGGATTATGGCAGAGTCTTCAATATTTACTATCCTCCCGTCTTTGAAACGAAACGTACATACGTTTAGATGTAATTTTATATATAGTTATGTTTATTTAATATAATTTTAAAAAGAAGCATAAACACAACGAGGGGTGTCTGTTTTATCTGTTTTTGTGACTAATGTTTCGTTAGTATAACCATGGAGTATAAAATTTAATATAAATTCTCGGTATTGCATTGGACTCTATGATCGGCAGAAGTTATCGAGCATCCTTAATCCTTCACCGGAAATAACGCCGTGCATAGAGCCCATTAAAATATTTGTATTTGTATTTTCATTTTAGATGTCATTTTAGTCCTGCGATGGCAAAGGAGTCATTACTCCAGTCTTCTGTATCACATGATCTTTCACAATACATTCTAATATGCTGATTTGGTGCTTAAGAAACATCTTATTAACAATTCTTACAATAATTGAAAATGGTTGTGATGCTTAATATTTCATTTTTTCAGTCAATAGAAAGTATATAACAGCATTTATATAATTTTAAAACCATTTGCCACTTTTGATCAATTTAATGCATCCTTGCTGAATAAAAGTATTGATTTATTTTTAAACAAATCATACTGACCACACATTTTTGTAAGTTATATATTTAAATGTATTATAAATGACTAATAATCATTTCAATAAAAATCAGATCATTTCTGAAACAGAATTATTTGCAAAAATTCTTATCGATTGATTATTATAAGTCAAGAGATAATAGATAATAAAAAATATATACTTGTTAGTGTGCACAATTCGCAATTTCAAAGAACAAATATTTGTTGTAGTTTTTCCTTCAAAATGTAACAACTTGTTCTCCCCCTGAAATGACTTATTATGGAAATAAAATGGTTTGCAAATAGCATTTCATATATTTTCTTGGGAGTCAGATTGGGCTCGTCGCTTGTCGGTGGAAAAGGATCCGTGTCTCTGAGTGACAGTGGTGTTATATACATGACCCCCCATAAGGCGTCTCACATAGATGATATCATATCAAATGTTTACTGTAAACACAGCTGTAATGCATTTATTCTGTTCATTAGTGAACACTGTAACCCATCAAACTGGGAACCCTGCTCCTGTGTGTGTGAGCGCCGTTAATCTCCTGATTTGATACTGTGTGTGAGTAAAGACGAAGCCTTTGAAACAGCACTTATCGCTGGCTCATCCTGTCGCTGTTAAATGCACAAACAATTCAAACAGCAAAATAAACAAGTGAGCTATCGATTTCCCAGAGTGCAGCGGCTTGCTTATCGGCCGCCCAGCGGTAAGAGCTGACACATTCTTCATTAAAAAAAAATTGGATTACAGTTGCCCCTCTCTCTCTCTCTCTCTCTCTCTCTCTCTCTCTTTCTTTGTCACTCACACAAGCATACACATCCACACAACTAAAAACGCTTTCATTGTATCTCTCTCTCTCTCTTTTTTTTTTTTTTTTTTGTTCAGTCCTTCTCCCATTATGCCGATCATTTCAGATTAGAAACATCTGAGGGTTCACACTTCCTCACGTTGCCTTCAAGTTTTCATTGATATTTACTGTATGGAAGCCCATTTCCCCTTCAGAGTAATGAGTGACATTGTGGTAATTGTGATAACACATTTAAAATAGTAATAAATTCACATTGTAAAATGATTTAAAGTCACAGTTGGAGGGCATGAATCTGCAATTTGTTTTATTTATTGTATTGTATTTCATTTGTGTTTTACTTTAAGTTTGAAATGTGTTTCCATACCTATTCACTAGATCACACTGTAAAATGTGTTCAATTGAACTGGATTTTTACCTTTTATTTTGCGGTCTTCTAGCCCCTTAACTGTCACCGTCCTGCTACCGGGACGCCTAACTTTACTTCACTATATTTCTATTAAATCCTAATCTAATTATGACAAATCTGAATTATGACCTTTTGGGCATCATATTTCATAATTTATGATAAATGAGAAAACACATATTGTCAGAAAGGTCTGAGTCTCAAGGTTCCAAATTTTGTGAAAAAATTGATATTTGGACAGAAATGTATTAATTAATTAAGGCAGAATGTAACAACTGAATTCAATGGAATTCAATGGCACCCGGTGGCTGTTTTTGGTACTACGTCTAAACAAAATCTCATGTGATCTTCAATTTTTGTGATATCAACTTCAAATTTGGAACATAACTTGGTTAGATTTATGGCTTTGATTTTATAGTAATTTTAGAGTAAAAATATTTTGTAAAATATATATTTTATAAAAAATATATAGTACAGTATATTTGATTTACTGTGAATTTAAACTTCCATAACTTTTTCATACTTTCATTTTTTGGAAGTGTGTTCATCTTCAGCAATAATCTGCTGAAGTGTTTTCTTTAAAACAAGACCTTGGGTATATATTCCAAAGCATTCTTGAATTACAACCATTTAAGTGCGAATAGTGCATTTTAACCCCCATTCTCAAAAAGGGGGGGGTGACAGGTAAAGGGCTAGGATGCTGAAAGCTTACTCAAATCCGCCGAATGATACCATACAAGCCTAAATGTTGTTCTTCAGTGTAGTTTGCACACATTTTATCTACTGTTGATGAAAAATAGCAATACAGTTTGCCTGAAATTACTACGCATTTAGTCAATGAGGTGAGCAACAACAAAACTACATTTCCCATCATTCTATGTGGCAGATAATGATGAAATATAGATCATAGATCAAGCAACAATTACACACCTAATGCACAATTTCCTCTTCATTTTGGTGCATTAGTGCTGAAAGAGCTTTCTGTCTTTATGAACTGGAAGAGAGACATAAAAATGAAATCACTCGACGCATCCATTTTATTTTCGACCAAAAATGCACATCGCATCATAATTACGGCCTCCGAGCTCGTAAACAGAAACATCCCGGGAGGACTTGAAGGCAGCACACACAGATTACAGGCGAAAGAGAGCGCCTGGGTCATTGAAAGGAAACATCAAAGAGAACCAAACGCAAATTTGCTGTTGTGTGTGTCTAGGCTTGATGTGCTAATGAGATGTTGATCACGTGATCACACCTTTTTTTTCCACACGTTGGTCTCATTTGTTTTCTCCACCCTTCCTATCGCTCAGCGGTGGAGGACAGAAAGCTGTTCATCGGCATGGTGTCGAAGAAATGCAATGAGAACGACATCCGGGTCATGTTCTCTCCCTTCGGACAGATCGAGGAGTGCCGCATCTTGAGGGGACCAGACGGACTCAGCCGAGGTGAGACACACGCACGTACTGTGTATATATATATAGAGATCAAGGTTTCTAGTTTTGAAAACGAAACATGTTGGAAAACAAGATTTTTCTTTCTTGTTTGAAATAATTTGATGTGTGCTCTAGCAATCTCAACGCAAATGTGAAACTAACTCTATAAGCTAAGTAGGTGCGATTGCAATGAAGCGTCACACTGGGTAGCCACGCCCACAGTGAAACCTCATTGGTCAAATAAAGCATTCCATGTATCTATATATTAAATGAGAAATATGTTCTGATTGGCAGTGATTGTTTTGCGTCACTCAGAATTTTCACTTTCTATGGGGACACACTGGACTGGACACTGTAAGCAGCAAAAACGTAAGCTCATTAACATATGCCCGCCCACATTTATACATCAACACCTATTCAGTATTCAGCCGCTTGTGCCGTCCTGACGAAAAACAGGGCGAGCTACCAACACATGGCAGTTTGCAACTATTTTACGTTTTTGACCAATCGTATTCTTTTGTACGATCGTATTCATATGTTCTCGTACAATCTGCTCACACCCAATGATGAGCATACACATTGTACAAATTTACACTAGGTCTGTCAAACGATTAATCGTGATTAATCGCATCCAAAATAAAAGTTTGCGTGAGTGCACTGTGTATAATTATTTTGTATATACTGTATATAAATACACACACATGCATGTATATTTAAGAAAAAAATATTATTTATATGTAAAATATTTACATTTATATATAATATAAATTATATATAAATCTATATACAGTACATCAATGTAAATATTTCTTAAATATATACAAGCATGTGTGTGTGTTTATATATATAAAATAATTATACACAGTGCACCCACATATATTATGTAAACACAAACTTTTATTTTGGATGCGATTAATCGCGATTAATCGTTTGACAGCCCTAATTAATACACAATCGCCACCTCGTAAAATAGTTTTCTCGTGAGATCTAGTTGGAGCTACAGCAGACATCTAACCAATCATAACAGGACTCATGTGCATATAAAAGTCTTAAAGGTACAGTAGCAAAAACCTCATTTTGTTAGTCAAGTCACTGTAAAAATTAATGTGTTTTTGGTGCAAAAAAACTTAAAACACTAGGGCTGTAAATTGATAAAAAATAAATTTTAATCAATTAATAAATCAAACTTATTACCCCTAAAAGACAATTTAACGCCATTATTGTGTTAAATGAGAAACGCATCAAATAGACATTAAAACGAATTTATTACACATAAACTTTTGTTGCTCCATTGTCGATTACCATTGATCATAATTTTAACTATTTTATCTTGTAAAACAACAACAAGCTTTTGAAATGCACTTATACAGTAAGTCTATGGAGAAACTGTTGCACACTTGTCCAATTGACCTCCATTGTAAGTGAAAAAGCCTTCACTTAGCTTTCAAAAAATCGAAATTTACAAACTGAGACAAATGTGCACATTCTGATCAAACGTGGTGGTTAGAGAAACTGGTTAGTGTTTTTTAATTTTTTTTTTTTTATTCCAGCTTTTAAGTTCAAAGGTCTGCTACTCATCAAAGTCAGTCTCTCGCTCTGTTTGTGAGGTTGTTTGATTTCCGCAAGAATCATGGGAATATGTGTGGTACATGATAGTGTTGAAGACTTTTTCCAGCTTGATGTAACCGGTAGGGAATTACACCGTACCTCCATCTTCCCACAATGCTCTGCTTCCGCATACAGCCCTCTTATATCAATCGTTTATCCTCCTCATCCACTCCTCTAGTCGTCCCTCCATCCTCCGCTCATTCGCGGTACTCCTCCACAGTCCTTATTTTTTCCCGTCTTTCCCTCCTGTCCTCATGAATATTTTAATTCCTCAGGAGATTAACTTTATTCCCTGAGCTAGTGGTTGGAGATATATTCAAAATGCTTCAATGAGAGGAACTAGCACCCCCTCCCATAAAAAAGGATTGGGCGAATAAATAGATGAGTAAATGTGTACGTAAATGAGGTGTACGCTAAATCCCATGGAGTAGGAAGACTTTACCAGGACTCTCGCATCGCTATTAACGCGGCCTATCAATCATCATTGAACTTCACTATTAATAAAATATAGATCAGGCCACATGCGAGCGCAGTGCCCTGGGAGCTACCCCACTTTCTTCAAAAAAACTCATCTCTCGCTCTCTCTGTCCTTTCATATCGCACCGCATCCCTCGTTTATTCCCTTTCGATGACACTGGCAGTTATTTATACCTCGTTTGCATTGTTTTCGCCACAGTCACTTAGTCATTCTGAGAAAAATACCTGACCAATTCATAAATGAATTAAAGTAAAAATTGTTCTAAAAAAAACAGTCCCCTGTGACAATTATGCCGTTTTGCTCTCATTATGCGAAAATAATTTGACCCCGGAATGCTACGATTGACCAATCACCGTCAAGTATTCCAGAGGGCTGCTGAATAAGAATAATTAATCACTTTCTTTGGAAACTCTTTCATTCGTTCTCCTCGTTAACGGCTTATCATCTCGACAGATCAGAGTTCGTTCGAGCAGTGAACAAACTCTGTCGCAGGTCAGCATAAACGAGGACTTTGAGAGTTGAAAGAAAAAGTTGTTTTTTTCCTGCGTTTCTCCATCATGAGATGGTTTCTTTAGAGTGTCGCCACAAAATATCACCCTTTCGAGTGTCCAACGCTGCTTTAATGATGAGGCTAATTAAACAGCCTTACATTGTGCTTTCCGGTTCACTAGCCGGGGCCAGATTCACCCCGCTCTGAAGACAGAAAGGAGGTTGTATTGGAGTGGTAGCGAGAAAAGAGAAGGTAGGTCCGCTATAGTAGGTGCCAGCAGATGTACAGCGCAACCGTGTGGTTCTAACACTGCATTGCAGTGTACAATTATTGCTGACTGAAGTCACGTGGGTCATTAACCAAAATGCATTTTATACATACAATAAATACACCTTATATCTTTTAATTTCTGTATTAAAATTAATTTAGGTATTTTTGGATGGGGGTGGTAAGGGATGTTGCTTAATATTTTTGTTTTATTTCTTAATTTTGTCCGTCAAATCAAAGTTTGATTCAAATCATATGGTGCAACCAACATCTTGCAGACCAATGTAAAATATTAAAATAAATTTTTTTAAATAATTAGACTTTATTACAAGGCAAGCTTAGTTCAGGTTGCAAAAACAAAATGATATTTATAATAGGGCTGTCAAACGATTAATCGCGATTAATCGCATTCAAAATAAAAGTTTGTGTTTACATAATATATGTGGGTGCACTGTGTATAATTATATGTATAAATATACACACATGCTTCTATATATTTAATAAATATTTTCATGTATAAACCGTATATAGATTTATATAATTTACATAATATATAAATATAAATATTTTACATATAAATAATATTTTTTTCTTAAATAAACATGCATTTGTATGTATATATTTATACACTAAATAATTATACACAGTGCACCCACATATATTATGTAAACACAAACTTTTATTTTGGATGCGATTAATCGTTTGACAGCCCTAATTTATGAATTAATAGTTAGTGATATTTGTTAACGTTACCGTTTACTAACACTTACTTACGATTCACATGTATTCAAGGTGTAAGAAAAATATTATTATTTTTACTTGGTTACACCGCGTCACACCACTTTGTGACATGGCATTTAAAGTGTTATTTAGTATTTTTGTCAAAATAGTATTTTTTTTAAACTCTAAAAACATGTGCAACTGATTCATTATTATATTTTATTTTATTGTGAATATCTCATTGACCATTTATGAGACGAGCAACCACTATGTCCTCATTTCCAGTGTGAATGTCAAGATTTTCTTGAAGAATCATGATGAAATCATTGTGGTATTGATCATAAGTTGTAATAGTGAATGTCGCATGCGCTGTATTTCGTATGCAAATTATCCACTGTGGGTGAAGAATAACGCCAAGCATTCCAGAAAGTACTACTTATTTAACCGGATTATAAGATGACAGGTTTGTCATTTCCCATCATTGTCTATGGCAGCATGAGAATGTTGCAGTATAGGAAAAAAGAGAAAAATAGTATAAAATTGACATGTTCATGTTATTCGGGCCGGCAACACATCACATCGTAAGTAGTTTAAGTACTCGAAGGAAGCATTTATGAAAAGACGCATTTGTTATTTCTCCTCCTCCATTCTTTCACTGCATCCGCATATGTAGACGTGTAAGAACCCGTGTAGTTAACCCATTAACTAGACTGTCCATGCATGTGAGCATGTCTGTGTCCTCAATATGTATAAATCTGCTGGACTGCACAGTAGAGTAGAGCTCTTCAAACAGGGTTGCGCTTTCCCCCAGCATGCCTCCATATGGCCTGTTCCTCTGGCTCCCGCTTGCACCGCTTCGGTTCCAAGACTCCTCGTCCCAGATGCCATTGCAAGCTCTCCTGAAACACACACTCGCCTCCAGGGATTACTCGACTTGATTATACAGTTATTTAAAAAGGAATATTACATATTTATGTTTTATGTATTTTCTTTTTTGTGTGTGTTAGTTAGTGGGGAACTAAAATCATAAAATCATTGTGTGTGAAAACTTTTTCCTTTGGCCTTTCGATTTAATGTCAATAATATTTACAAATCATAACACTGAGAGAAAAAAAGAGAAAATCACTCGCTTCCATTCATCTTTGAAGCACAAATTAAAATAGTTTTAATGAAACCTGAGACACTTCTGTCCCTCAGTTGAAAGTCCATTCCACCAAAACTTTTTCAAATAGGTCATGACCAAATTATGAATTTTGATACTAACCCTAAAATGTATTATATTCGTTTAAAAATTTGAAATAAAAGTGTCATGTTTTTGTTGTGGTATCAAAATCGTGAAATTTCACTAGCATTGGTTATGAACAGTTGAACTATTGGTATCGCAGTAACCGTGGGCCGTGACAAAGTACGTATGTGTGTGTGTATGTGATGACACTAGCCACACACCATAGCCAACCCCATAGCCATCACACCAAACAAAACTAAAGAACTGATACCATTGCTGATAGTCATTTTGTTGAGTGTGTATTTTGAGATGTTGAATGTTGAATGTTTATCTGAAGCTGAATGTTGAATGTTGATCGTTCTATTCTAGCAACTGTATAGCACTGTTGTCTGCTGTGTTCTTTGTACGATCTTTGTTTTTTGGCTTTATAACAACCTGTCCAACCCTTTTGTCTTGTTTTGTTTCTCTCTCGTCTCTCCTCCTTCCTCTCCTCTCCTCCCTCCCTCCCTCCCTCCCATGTCCCTCCCCTCCTTCCTGCAGGATGTGCGTTTGTCACGTTTTCTACCAGGGCTATGGCACAGAATGCAATCAAAGGCATGCATCAGTCTCAAACCATGGAGGTACTGTACCCTTGTCTTCTCTCTCTCTCTCTCTCTCTCTCTCTCTCTCTCTCTCTCTCTCTCTCTCTCTCTCTCTCTCTCTCTCTCTCTCTCTCTCTCTCTCTCTCTCTCTCTCTCTCTCTCTCTCTCTCTCTCTCTCTCTCAGTTCCTAAACCTAGTGAGCTACCTGTATGTAGGCATAATTTGAAGGGTGTGCTCCCCTCGGGTGTGCTTCCAACCAACATTTGGACATCCTTTTAATACAATAAAGCATTGTGCTGAGCTTAGTGAAAAAAATCCAAGATGGCCTACTATGATATGTCCGTTTTAAAAATTACTCATTCAGATCCTTGTAGCATCAATAATCTCAAATTTAAAGTCACCAATTCAATTCATGCTTAGTTGTTGTAGTGTCATTGTTAGGTTATCAGCTTCCATCCGAAAATGGTGAACAATACCCGTGATCTTGATACTAAAGTAAAGTATGTGAAGAAATAGTTCAAATTAAAACTAATTTACCAAATCTTGTGTGCTATTTTTGTTTCATTCATTAGTGTTGTGTTGTTAGCTTACCCAGACAGCAAACTGACATTGAATCAACGTGGAAACGGCGTCTCTCATGACATTGAAACAACGTTGATTTTGCTCATCGAATTAACGTTGAACCAACGTCAGACGCGGCATTCTTCAAAGCTAAATGAAAATCGAAAATTGGTTTGCTTTCATAACGTTGAAACAACGCGTTGATTTCAAGTTGATTTTCCGTTAGTTTTGAAAGAATGACGCGTCTGACGTTGGTTCAACGTTAATTCGATGAGCAAAACAATGTCAGATCAACGTTGTTTCGATGTCATATTTCCACGTTGATTCAATGTCAGTTTGCTATCTGGGTAGCGACATGCTAATACCAAACTCAAAGTCAACGTTGTGTGAGTGTGGCATTTGTATGACACAATTTGCTGTCTAGACCATTCCCAATATGAAAGTATTGTTGTTAGCTTAGCAGAATGTTAATGGTAACATTTTACCACTTTTCTAAATTTTCTACTTTGTTTTGCTTATTAGAACATCGCTGTTAGCTTAAGGACATGCTAATCCCAAACTCTAAAGTAGATGTTGTCAAGTGTCGTGCATTTGACACTAGTTGCTGCCAGTGTTCTAAATAGGTAACTTTTCGGTGCGTTTGCATTTGTTAAAAGTTAAACATGCAAATTTACCTATAAAGCTGCGTAGTTTGCAAGTGAACTACATTCTATTGAGATTTTGACCACTTATTGATATTGATATTGATAAGATATTGACCACTTGTATTGAGATTATCGTTGTTAGCTTAGCAGAATGTTAATCATTAGCATTCTATATCAAATCAAAAAAAAATTGTGGCAACAGATTACAAGCAATATTATGAAATTTAACAAATTAGTATTGAGTAATAAATAATCAAATTAATTCCTTAAAAGTTAACCATTCAAAATGAGTAAAACTTACAACAACAACCTAAAAAAACATAAATTGAAGTCACCATTTGTTTTAGGTTTGTTTTAAAATGACGGTTTTCTCCTTCAGTGATTCTGCTTGTTAACCTCAATGTTGGCAATATAAAATAAAGAGTTATTTATTAATCTTTGACGTCTGTCTGTTAGTGAGATATTTTTGGTGTAAATTTTACTCATTTTAAATGGTTAACATTTAAGGAATAATTCGATTAATTATTACTCAATTCTAATTTGTTAAGTTTAATTCATAATATTGCTTGTAATCTGTTGCCACAATTCTATTGATTAGATAAAGCGTATTCATTTTTACAGTGCATTTCAGCATTTTCTTGGATTCTCTGCTTTGTTTTTGCCTATTAGAATATGTCAGTTAGCTTAACAACATCCCAAACCAGTATGTAAGTAAGCGTGCGTGACGCACAAGTTGCTGCCTACATAGAGCGTTCCAAATCAGTCACTTACGAGGATTCATTTCACTCGGATGCTGCCAAGACAATTAGACTGCTGCTCTTGCTATCTCTCTATCTTTTTCTCTCTCTTATTTCTATTTGAATTGGCCAGTATCACTACCATGTTCGATTTTCCCATTGAACTTCTAAGTTGCAAGACAAAAGTTTTTTCTCTCAGTCAGTCACTTTTCTGCAAAACTTTTAACACCATATTAAGTGCCTCTTCGCTCCCTGTTATTACTGTCAGTCATTGCTAAAACCACCCATGGTCAAATGGGTCAAACTAAGAAGGACCCCCCCAGACCAACCCACCCAACCAGTCTGCTATTAGAAGACGGGTTTGGTTGTGGCGATGTCACAGACGCTTTAATAACAGACCTCCGACGGGCCCTTGCATTGTGATTGCCCTGTAGAGTTTAGCAGTCCGTCTCAGTGCCTGTCAAAATGTCAAAGCTCTGACACACCAAATCAGAGGGTGCTGACAGCTGTCTAATACAGGGTCCTAACTATGCCACTGCGTGTGTGTGTGCGACTTGCACACTTATGTCACCACTCTCCGCAAATTTCCCAACGTACGTTAACCCTTACAGACATGCTGTTTTTAACACCGACGCCCGGATTAAAAAGGCCACCTATTAACCAATCAGAAACCGTTGACACTAATGGATTTAAGCCGCTTTCTCGAGTCTCTGAAGGCCTGTATTTATCAATTCTTAGCTAAATTTACATACATATTTTATCTCTTTGTCTGCCGGTCACATAGCTGCACTAAATACGCAAAGGGAAAGTAATAACCCAGTTTTGATTAGATTGAGTAAATTGGATTGTTGTTGTTGTTGTTGTTTTTTCGGCCATCTCTTCGCCCTTCCCTCACACCGAGGAATTTGTGGCCTTTCTGAATGCCATGACTTAATGAAAACGGATATGACAGAGGGTGGTCATGCATGCGATTGGGCACACGGCACGCACACAGTTGCGATCGGCCTCAAAGGATTGTTTTCAGTGCTGTGATTTGCTAAAGTCTCCCTGGATGTTCATCTCGTTTGATATGTGTTTGTCTCTCTTTATCTCTGTGTTTGTGTGTGTGTGTCTCCACAGATGCACGTTTGTATGCTCCTGTATATTTCATGGGGGTGTGTTTTTTTTTTTTAAACTGCTCAAATAACGTATGGGCATGTTTTTATAAGATTAACCTAAGCGTCACCTATTTAAACTTGTACACTTTAGCTTCAATCTACTTCTTTCACATTAGTCAGAGGCTGCAGAGTGTGAGTGTGTGTGTAAGAGAGAAAGACAGAGCGAGTGAGTAATGAGATTTTTGCGGTCTCTTGAGATGTTCACTCGGAGATGGCACCACTCGATTGACAGCTTGAGTTAAATCTCATCCCCCCCCCCTTACAAGTTTTATTTTTACCTCCCCTCCATCTGAGAGCAGAAATAAGAAAATCAGCTCTCCTAATGGAAGGAACACTGTAGAACGCTCCGGGTGGATGTGAGGCGCACCACCTCCAAGAAACTCAAATGCTCTCTCTCTTGCACATTCACTCGTTCTAGAGTCTGTGATCTTTCATCTTTTTTTTTGTCAGTCTGTGGTTCGCAGTTCAGTGAGAGCACAACAGAGTGATTTATCAGAGTGAATCAGCACCTGTAATGTCGAGACAAGAGACAGAGATGCAGAATAATTGCCTTGAAGCGCTCGTCTCAATCTTTCGTCCTCTTGTGGCTCCATACGGCTGCCCTGCGTTAGCTGCCGTTGCCTGAGGAACAGCTTTGATATTAATACATGTAATGGTGTTTCTTAATGTTCTTACTGAACACCGTTTACAAAGTCTTCCTTCTATAACTTGTGCGCTTGCGTCAGAGAAAATTCTGTTACTTCATGCCGTCGTGATGATTTATATTTTAGTCTGCTACTCACTCAAAGCAACTAAACGCTTTAGAAGACCTTGGATGTATTGAGTGGTTCGTGTTAACTGCTGTTATGGTACATCTTTGGGTGAACATGGTACAAATGGAAAAAAAAAAACTAAGAAGAAAAAAATGAATGCGTTTTGTTTAAATGCAGGAAAAAACATTTTAAATTGTCAAAAATTAAGCTACATACCACAGTTCTTATTAGCATAATTCAGTATATACACTGTAAAAACATATTTTGAAACATTTTTTTAATAACATTTTCATACAACATAATATTTTGAGTTTTTGATGATTAAATCAATCTCCTTCATTGTATTAACTCAATTTTTTCCATTTCAATGAACCTAAAATTTTAAGGCAACCAGGTTACTTTTTTTTTTTAAGTTAAACCAACAATTGTAAAGTATTATGCTAATGCAGTATATGTATTAATTTTTTTGTATTACAAATTACACTTACTGGAATCTAATTATACTAAATCTAATTCATGTATTTGTAAAATATCTGATCTGGGAAGTAAATAATAAATAATACAGCACTGGTTTACAAAATAAAAAAAAATATTAACATAAATAAAACTTACAACATTATTGTAGTGAGAATTTGGGTTAGATTGTGCTTAATTCTCATAAGAATAATACATTTTTGTATTTTTATATTGTATTTTTTTTTTCTTTTGATTTTGAAGTAAATGTTACCTGGACTTGTTTTCATCAGATTAACCATTGTTGACTTTTTTTTATATAACCTGGGATTATTATATTCAGCATTTTGCTAAATGTTTGTGAAAAAAACCCCCGATGATTTCAAAAACCATGAGAGTTAGATGATGACTAAATGAAATCTTTTGGTTGAATAACCACATCAGGAACTAACACAACACTTGCATTATATTCTGACCCTTAGGGCTTTAGTTAAACAGGCATCACCGGTCAGGCCCAAGATGTTTACGTTTGTTTGCTTTCGAGAGAGACCGAACGCGTGAGAGATTAGCTAGAAATGCGGCAGGTCTGCAGGGTGCAGCGAGGGCTGTTTGGTGGGAGATCTCGCTCGCTGCCTCGCTCTCTCAGACAGATGATGAAATAGTTTTATAAAGCAGGAAATCGCTTTCCTGGGAAATAAAATCAGCAGCACAGCACAGCACAGGACTCTCATTTCACCAAGAACTCCCGTCGCTCCAGCGTGTGTGTGTGTGTGTGCCATTATCGGTTTATGCAGTACCTCGGCACAAGATCATTGCTCTTCTAGATACTTAGATTTCCCTCTGTTTTACCTCTTTTTCTCTTCCGCTTTCCTCCTCTGTCCTCACAGGGCTGCTCCTCCCCCATGGTGGTGAAGTTTGCCGACACGCAGAAGGATAAGGAACAGCGGCGGCTGCAGCAGCAGTTGGCGCAGCAGATGCAGCAGTTGAACAGCGCGTCTGCCTGGGGCAGCCTGACCGGCCTGACCGGCCTCACCCCACAGTATCTGGCAGTAAGAGGACACACCACGCCCACCAGCAGCACAGCCAGCGCAGCCGCCGCAGTCAGTCACTGTCTCCACCCACTGCCCCGCCCCCCCCACCTCTCTCGCTCTCTCCGAGCTAGTCTTCACCCCTTTCCAAATCTCTCATCTGTAGAACTTCGATCGTGCCTCGATCGATCGAAACCGGTCCCCATTCTCAAAACTATGAAGGGTGGTGCTGCCATTTTAGAAGCCGTTAGGGCAGTGGTTCTTAACCAAGGGGTCTAAATTTTCCAAGGGGGCCTCTTGATTTTAATAATAATAATAATAATAATAATAATAAACGGTATTGAAGAAGATTAAAAGACTGGTAATCAATATATTATGGACGCTTGTTTCCACCACAGAAAAATAAAATAAAAAGGTAATTGTGACTTATCTCACAATTCTGACTTTTTATTTAAGAATTGTGTGATATAAAGTCAGAATTGCGTGTTATAAAGTCAGATTTTTGAAATATAAACTCGCAATTGCGACTTTATATCATGCAATTCTGACTTTATAACATGCAACTGCGACTTTATCTCAGAATTCGGACTTTATATCTCACGATTCTGATAAATAATGTCAATTTTCTTTTAAAACTGTTTTATTCCGTGGCAGAAACAAGCTTCCTTAAGATATTGTGTTGTTCTCCACAACCCTCAACAACTCGTTTAAAAAATAAAACATGTTTTCCAATGTCTAGAAAAAAAAAACTGTATATATTGCATAGTCTAATTTTAAAAGTGTGATTTCTAGGCGTAATGGATATTTTTAGAATTGGGTTATAAATTTTGAATGAAAAGAAGAAAAAAAAAAGAAATGTTTATATCAGGAAAAGAAACAAGGCCTTGGAATATTGTTGTGGGCAATGTGGGTCCTTGGAATCCAAAAGGTTAAGAACCTCTGCGTGGAAACAGTTTCTTTTTTTTTTTTTTCAGCCTTAGTTACTGAAGTATTTGTCCCACTCATTTTATGCATTGGCATTTTTTTTTTTAATCTTCAGTGAAAGCCATAAACCCAAACCACCCAAGATCAATCACCACAATTCAACAATTCATCCCATGGCATGATGCATTGCAAAGAAACTTAGTACTAATCAAATAGTAAAGATTAAAAAATTCAATTTAAAACAATACATAATAAAGGAGTATATGCCATCTTCATAGGATTATGCAGTATTCTTAAATATCAGTTTCTCTATAGAGAAAATGAAAGCCCCGCTCTGGCTCTGTTGTGTAATTGGATTGGAATGAGAACAATACATAAATTCCCTGTTAAACTCATGCCCATCTTCACGCTCCTAAATATAAAGAGGATACAAACATGGTGGTGACATTTACTAGCATTTTTGTCCATAAGGACAGTGGGTGAGGATTAAAGGACTATGCAAGAGCATTGGGACAGGGCCATCTCTCCCACCCTTCTGCTTCTCCTTTTTCTGCCTTTTCCACTTCCCTGTCATTTTGAGGCTACGTTCAGCTTTTAAGCAGTCTGAGGGGTCTAGTTCAATGTCATCCTAATCCTCTAGAGTCATTTAGAGTCTGCTTTCCTCTCCCCTTTCATGTGCAGAAACTGCCCAGGACAGCAACACACTGCCAGCAGAACTGACGGGCGACTCTTAGCATGACAGTGTTCACTGGCACCGATGTATGAGTCTAATACCTTGAAGTGCTCCTCAAGTATTTTGCGATTTAGTTCCTTTAAGTATTTGACATGGTTTTCACTCTCAGCACTATTTTTTTGTGAATTGCTCTCAGATTATGGTTTCGAGAGATTTTATGAAATATATGCATTTATTTAGCATGATAACCATTCTTAACACAGTGTCCATTCTCACTGTGTTAATGTGATTAAAATTTTAAATTCCATATCTATCTTAAACTGAGATTTTAGTGCTAATTGGCCGCATAGCAATAATGTGCCATGCTGCAAACCATTTTATTGGTCACTTGTTGCACTTGAAAGTGCAATTATATTAGACATCACACATGTTGTATATTAGAAATCAAATATATTTTAATTGGCATTGGCATTGGATTTTGTTTATTACATTAAATATGTTGATAAAAACAAAATTAGAGCGGGCCCAATCCTAATACTTGAGGAACACCAGTGGCTAAGACCATGCCCTGACGGATAGAGGCGTATGTGTTGCTTTGCTGTTGACAGACTGCTCTATAGTGTCACTCCAGACAACATGGAACATGGGAACAAACCACAATGTTTCATCTATATTTAGCTAACACTAGCTCCTCCAAACATTATCCTTATAAATCCATCACCATAAGCCAATGCATAATTGTGATTACACATTAACGGTCTGTTTTTTTCCCCTCTCTTCCTCCCAGTTGCTCCAACAAGCGACCTCCTCCAGTAACTTAGGAGCGTTCAGTGGTATTCAACAAATGGCAGGTGAGATACTGATCTCAGATCTGTTACTACCCTACCCCCATTGTAACTCCTCAACTAAACTCCCATCCCCCCCTACTAAACCATTCAACCCAGCTCAGGATTGAATAACAAAAACCCAGTTTGACACCTGAGCAGATCCAGGATCAGCAGAGGTTCGGCTGAGGACATTGTCATCCCGCCTCAGAGTTTAGTTTCATCATGCTGCAAACTTCCTGGCTTTCTACAATGTTTAGCACACCTAGATACTTTTGTAATGTTTGTAAGCGTATGTGTGTGTCAGATTTGATTGAGCCATTCTTTTCCAATGTACATCAAACCCCTTTTTTTTGTTTGTTTCTTGAAAGAAGAAATCTCATCATCCAATCACTTTCCCTTGCCTGGGGTCTGTGAGGCTTATGATTATGATGATACGCCCCATCAACCCTCAGATGCCTTCAGCTTTTTGCATTTTCACTTTAGCAATCCTCAAAGAAGAGCAAAAAAATGAATATAACCGTTTCAAAAGAGGCCACTTATCACTGTTTTTTTCATGCCACAAATACTGTCAAATTCACCAGCAACAATATGGATGCCTCATCGAAGCAACATGACACGATTCTTTCTTCATGCTGACTGGAATATGATTAGTGTTTTACAACATCCATCCGCCGATGAGCTCCTGCTTGCTCTCGCTGTTAGATAGGTGTATGTCGTTCTCCCTTTGACATTTTTTTTTGCCGTCGACTTTCTCAAAGTTTCTCTTTGCTCGGTTTCCTTCTTTCCCCCCTCCCCCGTTTTCAACGTTTTTTGGTTGTCTTTTGCATTACATTCCCAGTGTGCGTCTCTGTTCTTGTCAGGTCTTAATTGTGGACTGTTTATCAAGCTGCCAGGCCTTCAAGGAAAGTGAAATATTTATAGCACACGGTCTTGCCTAATTGCAGCTGCTAAGGATGAAAGAAAAAGAACGTATTAGCATCTAGAATGGCTTACAGTGTGTGTGTAGGATGAGTGCCTTTATCTCCTAAAGCCTTCCCCCCCTGACAACAGTTTTGCACACCAGAGAGTGGCTTCCTCATTAATGTAGGCTCTTGTGGAGAGGTTGAGCAGGACTGTGGTGTTTTTGTTTACCATTATGAAGAGAGTCCTGGAAGCTCTCGTTTAAGTTCAGTGGTACATCTGTGACAGCCTCTCAGCGAGAATGAAGTTCACATTGAGCCAAACCAGCGGCAGCTGCCACCACACAATTAAAGAGCGGAAAATTCCCACATTAACATAACAATGGCATTTTCTGGAACTCATTTTTAAGGCAATATAATTACCAAAAAACAGCTCAGTTTAGACTTTTAATAAAACCGGGTTATTTGCGCAAAATAATGGGAGTTGGTCACGCATGATGGACGAAGTAGTTTGTTATTATACTTGCAGATTATATACAGAAATGTGTCAGCGCTGGATTAATGGAACCATTCAACTAAAAAAGAAAATTCTCTCATTTGCTCACCGTCGTGTCGTTTCAAACATGTATGACTTATTTCCTTTTGTGGAACCGAAAGGAAGACTTTTTTTTCCATGTCCAAGCTGCTCTTTTGCACACAATGGACAGACTGATCTCATGAAGTAGCATGTGTGTGACACGCCAATTCGTATTTCCATTTCTGGCGTGCTATCAAGACGCATAATCGCTTTTCAGCGTGTTTATGAACGTCGTTGACTTAACGTTATTACTGTATATATATAAATATGTGACTTACCTCAACTCCGTCCCTAAACCTAACCGTCACTGGGGTTAATGGCATTGATGACTGTTCCCTTACCATCCTAGGAAAAAAAAAAGGATCGCTCCCCAGATGTAGATCTACATTTTGCTTCGTTTCGCGCGGACATTTGACGGCGTGTACAGACACGCGGAATCACTCGGACGTTAATGGCGTACACGCATACACGTGGATAGCTCAAAATGCGTAGAGATAACACGCCACTTGACTCGAAAGTGGCGTGTATGTTTACGCAAAAGTCATGATGTCATGTTGCAATGGAAATAGTACATAGTACGTTGTTTTGTGCATACATTGTACATTTATTTACATGTCGTATCACCAAGTTCAACCAATGACGTTTGACTTTGCTGATGCCAAACTTGGTATACGACACATCTTGATGTTAAATATTTGAATTTACTTCAGCACAAATGAACCAAACTCAACCAAGAACTACTGAATTAAGAACTAATCAAGGTCTTCAGGATTACTAGAAACCTCATGCAAGAGACGCGGGTTTATTTTGCCTCTTTTAAAGTGGCGAACCGGCCAAAAAATTTTACGTAAAAAGTTGAAAGTAGACCATTGCGTAATCCCAAGCCAGAAACCTGTTCAAGATGAACAGATAAACATGTCAAGTCTGTTTGAGACACTACTTGAAGTGCGAATCGACAGGAGCTCTCAAACTCAACAGGATTTGAAGGCTTTTCTCGGCTGAATTGTGAAATCTTTGGACCCCTCCATCTGTCGCCTGGCAACCGTCTATGATTGGCAGACGATATATACAGCTGACATCTGCTGTGTCTGTGCTGTGGGTGGAGTTACGGGCCATAAGGAGCTCCATTACACATGATGAACATTCAGCGAGAGCCAGCATCACCTCTTTCCTGACACCTCTCGCTCCACTCGGTCTGCGAAGAGTGTGAAAATACTGCATGGATGGATCTCTCTTTTTCTCTGTCTCTGCCTCTCTCACACTAGCAGAAGTGCCCTTCTCAACCACAGAATTCACATTGTGCCAAATACCCAATGGCCATGTTTTACACTTGTGTGCCAGAAACTCAAAATGGGTTCTTTTCCGCTTTATTCAGAAGCACAAAGACGGTCACAAAGCCCTCAATTTCAGAGTCCATTTCCGCCGTAACCTCTTTCTTTGACCCCCCAAAACTGCACTTTCTCCTTCAATGACAGCTCTAGCTTCTTTTATAGTATATACTATACGATACATGAAATCAGAAATGGCCTATTTAAGTCTTATTGTAAATACTTCCATTAAACTAAAATTACTTGTTTTCAGGGTGACATCCCAAATTCCTTTTGATTTTCGAAACCAACTATGTTGAAGCCACTTTTAACAGGTCCCGCCCAACTTTCTCTCTTTAATTTGTTCTTAAAGTGCCCCGCCACCGAAGTAAACTGGGTTGTTTAGGACCTGCAACACGTTACAGATTTATCTGTGCCCTTATATCTTGACCTGGACTTTGTTTTGCAATTAGAGGTAGATTCCCTGCCTCTAATCACCTTCTGTGATGTGCTAATTAGACTCTTAATGCACTCCTCATGCTTGCCCGGTGGATTGGGAGGGCAGACAGCCGTGGCGTCCCCAGAGCACTGTCTGACCAATCCAAATTACATGCTACTGCTGTCTAAAGGGATAAGGCTGGAAAAAAACAGATTTTCTTTTTTTTTTTCTCACAATGGCTTTGGATTCTATGTGCTTTCCGTCTCCGTTGACAAACATTAATGTTTACTTGGCGTCTTGCGAGTCCATGAGACTGTAGGGTGTCCGATTTTTCTCATTTCTAATTTTCAGAAGGGGGCTCACAATCTCCATTTTGTCGTAACCAGACTATATATGGGACATTAGTCACAATATTGTGGACTTGTAGGAGCGTGGCATTTTGGGCAGGGGCTATAATTATCTTGTGCACAAAGTCTTTTATGTCGTGTGTTTGTGTGTGTGTGTGTATGTGTGTGCGCTTCCTCATAGTTTAGAGTATATACATTTCGCGTGTATATACGACACATGCTGTACATTTTTCTGTCGTACCACTTCCAATCTCTGTCCTTCTTGGCTGCGAGCCACGTCCCGCAGTGTGTTGGCGTCATGGCCACTGCATGTAGCCGTGCCCCAAACACGTTAATCTAGAGTCACCTTTAGAGTTTCTTTTTAGGTAGATGCACCAAAGCCCAAGCGTAGAATCAGATCCTCAGTACCAAATGCCAGCTCCACTAACTCTTGAACACAAGGACATGCACTCGTAGAGCATTCAGTAGAACATGTGTGGTTCCTTTAGTTTGGCATGCACAGGACACATGCACGCAGACATTGACACTTTCTCTTTCTTCAGGTATGAATGCTCTGCAGTTGCAGAATCTGGCCACTCTAGCAGCAGCAGCGGCTGCAGCGCAGAGTTCGGCCAGCCCGTCCACTGCTAACGCCCTGACCTCCAGCACAGGGTCCCTGGGAGCCCTGGCCAGCCCAGGTAACCAGAGGCTGTCCCAACATCATCATCTTCGATAGCAGTATCATTTCTACCATAGAGTCGTTGTCCCTTCATTTGTCGTAGTTGAGTTCGTCATTCTCTTTGGTGTCTGAACGTCCTCCATCGTAATTCTTTTAACTTAAGTTTTCATTGTGTGTGTGTGTGTAGTCCTTGGCACCGTCCATCATGGTTCATGGTCATCATCATCATCATCACTGTGTTTGAGAGAGTGTGTGGCGTTAAGCTGTCGTGCTCTGTGGCTTTAACCGTGTTCCACTCATTTTTGGAAAAAGTTGACATGTGAAAGGAGGCGACACATTAGCGTGACACATGGTTCTACGGTTAGATTAGCTTCTTTGTGTCTCGCTTTGACGCTTGAAAATTTCTTTCAAACTTGCATAAATGCAAAAGAAGCTGAGGGAAAGATTGTATATGCTGTATATGAGTTCTTTTGTTTCGAGGGGTGTTTTCTATTGTATTGCTCTTTTCTGAAAACATCATCTTCATGATTGCTATAATTCTCATTGTTGATGACTCATATCTTGTCTTTTTTTGTATGAAATCTTAACCGATTTCCTTTAGGAATCAATAGAGCATCATGCTTGTATCCATCTGGCCTATTAAAAACTGCATGATATAACAACTAAAAAAAAAGTCTTAATATTTTTCAGTTGTTTAATATTCAATAATAGGGTGATTTCTAATTTCTATCTATATATTTATATATTAAAAGAATATAAATATTTTTTAAAAATGCAATGAAATATTTGGTAAATAGTCAATGGAGGTTTTCCACACTTCATTTGCATGCATTAATAATAATAATTAAATAATAATTAAAAAACATTCTTACTGTAAATAAATGTACTAAAACATTTTAATAAATGAAAAGTGAATTGCGTGTTTTGATTTGATTCATTGTAACTGACTTTTTCAACTGATTCACACAAAAAAATCGAATCAAACTTAACGCAAACATGTATTCTACTGACGTTTATATTGGACTCTATTGAAAAAAAAAATCTTTGTTGACACACAAGTCACAAGATAAGGACGTATTGCAAAATTATGGTACGTTTACACGACAACGTTATTCTGAAAACGAAGACGTTTTTCCTTTGAGTTTCTCGCATTGTCAAAATGTATTCTGCTGCCAGGCCATTAGATGCCGATGAAACACTATAGACTGAACACGTAATTCGCATGAGCATGACGTCATTGTCTTCAGAGTTTCCTTTGTTTTTGACGTTTACACGGAAAACGGTTTCAAAAACATGCACTTTGAAACCCGTTTTCAGTTTTCAGCCTTCCGAAACGTCAAATAAACGTCCAAAACGCACAAAAAAGTTTTACATTTTTATTTAAAAATGGTGTCGTGTAAACAGCCCCCTAGTCCGATAATACCCTTTTTAGGAAACACACTGCGCAATAAAATTATTGCAATATTCACAAAGTTAAAGTTGCATTTAATATATCGTGAATATTCAATATATCGCCCAGCGCTGCCATCTCAATCAATCACCCATCCATGCATCCTTCCCTCTGTGTACCTCCACCAAAGCTTTATGTATGTATCTTTAGCCATTTCAGTGTCATATGCGACTGTATGTGTGCAATCAAACATCTCTGTTTTTCTCTCTTCCATTTCTCCACCTGTCTCTCCTTCCCGCTCTGTCTGTCTTTCCCCACAGCAGGTTCCACGGCTAACTCCGTGGGTGCAATGGGTTCCCTGGGTTCTCTGGGAACACTGCAGGGTCTGGCCGGGGCCACCGTGGGCCTCAATAACATAAATGCACTAGCAGGTAGCGTCAACAGTGAGTACTACCGTCCATCGGCCTCTCCATCTCACTCCATACAACATCATCTCATACCAGCCGCCCACAGCGCATAGAGATGCCCGCGGTCTCCCAAACACACACATAGAGGATGTTTCGTATTGATTTACTCTGAATGTATGCCAATTAAGGCAAGGGCATCTCTCTGGGCTTCAGTGAGAGTTTGTTGGGTGATTTTTTTCACATGAAGTACTGTTGAAATATTGAAACTGTGTGTGTGTGATTTGTAAAATGCCTCATTGTTTAATCAAATCAGATCTGATCAAATTCATTCACTAAGTCAAAACAAATGTAACCCATCCCTTGTAGTCGTGAGTGTGTTTGCACCAATCGGCCACATCTCCACACATCTAACACACCGCTAAATCATTGCTCTGGGTGTTTCTATAGACGTGCAAATGTTTTGTCGCTATTGTGTGTGTGTGTGTTGTGTTTATGTGTCTGTTTAATGTTCGGTATCCACGAAGAGCTCCCCCAGTATAGTCAAAGTCAATGGGGCCCAATGATGCTTTGGTCCCTATTGACGTTCATTGTATAGTGAAAAATGGATGAAGAATATAATTTTGTTTAGAAGAAAGAAAGAAGGTAATATGGGTATGGAACCATATGAGGGTTAGTAAATGGACATTTTCGAGAGTTCACCCCCCAAAAATTAATCACCCACGTCGTTGCAAACGCATAAGACTTTTGTTCATCTTTGAAACACAAAAGATATGGTAGATTTCTATCCCTCCATTGAAACTCCATTCCAGCAAAGCTTCAGAAATTTCAGAAATACATAAACATAAAAGTAATCCATAAGAATCGAGCAGTTTTTATTCATTGACCTGCAAGAACAAATGTCATTAGTTCACAATTTTCATTTACAATATGTAATGCTTCAAAGTTTTGCTGGAATGGACTTTCAATGAAAAGACAGGTTTCATTAAAAAAAATATATATATATTGAAACGCCACTGTTCCTTAAGGTTAATAGTTGACGTCTGTTAAGAGTGATGAGTCAGTAGCTGGTAAGCAGATGTTTGGCGTTATAGCCGTTATCACATTGTGTATTATAGCACGACTGCAATGCTGTATTGACAAATCAGCATTCAAGGCCAGGACTATTAATTTTTCACTAGAATGTACCTAATGGGCGTTGCAGAATGTAATTAGTATGAATAGGCGAGTTAAAGATCATTATGGCCTCTGCATGTGTATATGTCAGTGTGTCGGCACGCGGACAAAATCTCTATCTCCACCAGTGACCTTTTAGCCAGGTCTCTAGTTTTATAAATCAAGCTTTCTTCAACAGAGCGGCTACAATTTAAATTCATTCAAATGACTCTCTCTTGCACATACACACACTCCCAGTGCTCATTTAAGAGGCTGTATAGTGTAATTGAATATAAAAGGTCAGGATTGTAATTATTGCTGGATAAATGAGGGAGCTGGCCGTCCAAGCACTTCGCTCATCATTTATTGTTTCCAGGCCGTCAAGCCAAAAGGCCAGTTAGTAAATACTCATGAATCAGTCTTTATAAGCACACACACACACACACACACACACTGACAAAGGAACAGTATGTGAACACAACTACTTCTATTCTAGCATGATTTGCTTTGTTGTTTCACATTATGAATATTGGGCTACGTTCACACTGCAGGGCTTAATGCTCAATTCCGATTTTTTGAAAAAATTCGATATTTTTGCAAGGCCGTTCACATTTCCAATTAAATGCGACCTTTTGTGATCTCCTGTGTGAACGTGAAATGACCAAGAAGTGACCCGCATGCGCAGAAGAGTAATCAACGGTCAACGACGTCACTTGTTGTTTGCGGAATAGTTCTTTTTTTCCATATTGTTGCGAGCTTTTGTTTTATTATTATTATTGCCACAGCCCATATACAAACACAGACAACAATTATTTTATCGACGGGCAAAGTTTGCACATAAATGTAAGATTTTTCCGATCCTCACCGACCTCGTCGTTTAATTGATAGTGCGCGTCCTCGGCGCTCCTTGCTTTGTCACCGGCGGCTGCGGTGCGACACTGGTGGCTGGTGTTGCCAGATTGGGTGTTTTTTCGCTACATTTTAAGGCATGTATACATGTGTTTTAGCCAGGTTTTCGCCTGGAAGGCTCTATAGAAATCAATCTGGCACCCTACTGTACGAAGTTAAACTGACAGAGAGCGCACGTTCACAGACACCAGAATGAACGTGTTCACAGTAATGTTCATCAGGCAGTAATACAGTATATGAACGCGTTCATGCACTATCGTTCATTGAACGCGTTCAGGCACAACACTGGGGAAGAGACACGTCTGCAGTGGCCCATAACCAGTGTTGTGCAAGTTACTTCCAAACTGTAATACATTAGGTATTACTTGTTACTGTTATTTAAAAGTAATTCATTACCTTACAATATTACTGTCTCAGAATTGTAATGCGTTACATTACTCATGTATTACTTTTGAGTTACTTTCACCAAAATAACTAAGTAGAACAACTTTGGGGCTGTAACGATATGCAATATGAAACCGAAATCGCGATTCGCCACATGACTCAGATCCACGAGCAGAATTGCGACACACCTCTTCCAACTCCCAGCGATATTCTCCTTACCGTCCAGATCCAATGCTGCCTTATCTTTATTTTATTTTTTAAAAATTAGGCTATTAGTATTATTTGAAGTTAACATTATAAAATACGTGGACCTACACCACAAAACTAGTTAAGGAGCATTATGGACATGACATTTGCAGTCAAAACTTGAAATAAAAATTCTCAGAAAATACATGTATTGAAACGTCTAGGCTTCCTCAAAGGACTCCAGACATTAGACAAATATCAGTCTATGTTTTATTTTTAATATTAGGGAAAAGACACACATTCATGCGTGACAAAAAAAAAATAGGAGGCAAAATATATTTTTTGTAATTCTGTTAATTACACTGCGCAAATCAGATGAGGAAGGGTTGGCTCTCCAGTCTCCATAGAACTTAAAATATTCATTTTATTTTAGTTTTCGTGTTCGCATTTATGAGGAAAAAACAATGTTACAGACGCGACCGCTCTGAACTGGCACTAAAAGACTGCTTTAAAACTTTCACACAGTATGTTGCCTTTAAGAAGTAAAAGCAGACAATACACTGTAATACAACTGTAATACAAGCCTGACTGAACATGTAACGAGTAAAATATTACTGAAAATTGATTAGTAATGCCTTACACTACTGCGTTACAGCAAAAAGTAATATGTTACTGTAATGTATTACTTTTGTAATGCGTTACTCCCAACACTGCCCATAACAGTGCAGAAACGCATTGGAGTTAGCATGTATTGGCTAGCTACAGGTGCGTGCAATGACGTGCAGGTCGGATATATGTGACCTGGCCGTTCAGACTGAAGTCGCATTTCAAAAGATCGGATTCATATCGGATTTGGACCACATACCCAAGTGGCCTGGGTCGCATTTGAAAAGATCGGATCTGTGTCATTCAGACTGTCATGAAAAAATCAGATACAGGTCACATAGGGGCAAAAAAATCGGAATTAGGTCGTTTCAGCCTGCAGTGTGAACGTAGCCTTGGTTGCCACAAGGGACTCAATAGTTTAAAGTCTCTTTTTTCTGTCATAGCATCTGATGTATCATATAGACTATCAGTACAAGGAGAGATTTGAACAAAATGGAATATCCAATTCATCTGTTAATTTAAAAAATAACTGACAGATTATTTGATTATAAAACTGATAGACTAATAACTATTTAATGCCACAGGCATTTGAACTTTATCGCTCGCGATTACTGAGGGTTGTTACTATCGTAAGTTTTAGCTCAGGGATGGTATGAGAACATCAGGTATTTTGTTTGATCCTTGCTGAAAGTGAGACGTGACGTGCTTTTTGATCCATTACCATTGTGCTTTTTTGACCACCAAAACACCAAACCCCAGGTTGCTCAAGGTGGATTGTTCTTGTAATAAGATTATGGTTTTTGAGATAAAAAGTGCAAAAGCATTAACATATAATTATGAATCCTGAAAAAAAAAACATCGATATTAAAATGATTTATGAAGACACTGAATGATCAGGTGACACTGAAGACTGGAATAATGATGCTGAAAATTCAGCTTTGCATCACAGGAATAAAATACATTTTAAAATGTATTAAATAGAAAACAATTATTTGAAATTGTAATAATATTTTACATTATTACTGTTTATATTTTTATCAAATAAATCCAACCTTGGTGAGCATGCTAACATTTAAACGGTGATGTGTGTGTGTGAATATTACCATAAAGTTAATCTCCACTGATGCTGCCCATATATTTACAGAAGTTACTCCATGTGCATCTGTTTTAGCAGTCAGGGTTTCTGCCTTTAATGGATCCAAGGTTGCGTTTGTTTTTTATTAAAAGAGTTTAATGTTTTCCCCACGACCCCTTTTTAATATGGCCAAGATTGCTGGCACGAATAATGAGATAATTAGATGTAGAGTTCCACTGTGTGAGGTTAAAAAGGTGATTGGTCAGATGTTTCTGTGTGTCTGAGGGTTTGCCGTGGTGATCGTTTCGTGCTGCTATTGTGACATTAGTGTGCATGTGTAGGCCGCGCTCCTCATTTGCATATACTGGTCAGTTTATTATGTACTGTATCTTCTGTATATGTGTGTTTGTGTGTGTGAGTGGGTGCCGTTGATGACGTAATGTCCTGTCGAGTGTCCTTCGTGATTCTGTTGTTGCGACAAGCAGCGTTTGCTGTACTTTCTGTCCAGTGTCTTATTTATTTATTTATTTATTTTTTTCCGTATTCTGTGTTTTTGTGCGTGTCGTGTTGTGTTTTGTTGTAGAAACACACCCTGAGTCCAAATTCTAACGAGTAAGAGCACTTCTTTTTTCTTTATTGTTGGGTTTTATGTAAAGTTGCTCACATGCTCTCAGGTATGGCAGCTCTGAACGGCGGGCTGGGCAGCACGGGTCTGAGTAACGGGTCGGCCGGGCCCATGGACGCTCTCACACAGGCCTACTCAGGGATCCAACAGTACGCGGCTGCCGCCCTGCCCACCCTCTACAGCCAGTCCTTACTGCAGCAACAGAGCGCTGCGGGCAGCCAAAAAGAGGGTATGGACACAGCGTGCAGTTAGAACTAGCTCAAACTCAGTTCATATGGAGCTACATTAATAACAAAAGTAAAAAATAAATAATAATAATAATAATTGACTACAATTTAACATGGTTTGTTTATTTACATGTAAATATTTCAATTGAAAACATTTCGTAATTCGCTATTATTTTTTTTTAAATATGCACTTTCAAATGTTCCGGTTCTAAATGTTTCTATTTAATATAATATTTAATTAATGATTAATTTAAAAATGATAAGTACTATTTGACTGGTAGTATTTGTTTGTTGCTTTACAAATTCATCTTGACAAATTTCGTATTTTTGTCTTTCGTCATTAATTTATATCCATCAGAAAATAATTTGGGATGAATTTAAAGAATTTAGGATGGTACAAGCATAGCGTTATATATTTATAATTATATAAAGCATTATAATTTTGTCATTCAACATTTAGTAAATATATGCTTTCAATGTTCAGTTTCTAAATTATTTTTATTTTTATTATATTTTTTTTTTATTAATTATACTTCATTTTTTGACCTTTATTTTATTTCGTATGTAATATATATATATATATATATATATATATATATATGACCGGTAGTATTTGTGTTTTGCTTTACAAATTCACCTTGACAAATTTTGTGCAACTTTTGACATTAATATATATCCATAAGTGAATCGGTATCAAGACCAATATCGCAATATTTACAACCAATACTGATTATTTGTTTACTGTTGTTAATGAGGCGACCGACAGCCTCACATTCTCCTCAAAACATTGGATTCATCCCCACTGTGCCGTGCCGAGGCACAACCCACGTAAAGTTGATAACTCCAATTTCAGATTTCGAACAGAGATGGCGACAAAGAGGAAAAACTATGCACTGCCACTTAAAATTTATTATAGATTCTTTTTATAGTAAATTACTTACTAGTAAATATGATGGAAGTTTCGGAATTTCTTCATTTGTAATTGTTCAGAATAGATTGACATTCCTTAATGCAACGCAATAGTTGTGGATTCTTCACTAAACTAGACACGTGCATGTTCTGTGCATGTGAAACAGGACCTGAAGGAGCCAACCTGTTCATCTACCACCTGCCACAGGAGTTTGGGGACCAGGACATCCTACAAATGTTCATGCCTTTCGGAAACGTGGTGTCTGCCAAAGTCTTTATTGACAAACAGACCAATCTGAGCAAGTGCTTTGGTATGAACTGACATGCAAACACAGAAGTTATTCGATTAAGGCTAGGGGGTAAAACTAGTCATTGGACTACTAAACACTATAAAGGACCTTTTTTTTAAAATAACTAACGTTATGGTAATTCAATTATGGTAGTAATGGCATTATATTTATATATTTTATTTATTATAGTTTTTCATGCTATTTTGCAGCTAATAATTCGTTTTTATGTAGTCTGTCTGCATTTTTTTTTATTCAGCAGCCTTAAGCCCAGGACACACCAAGCCCTCTGGCAATGTCGGGCCGCACCGTTGGCTTTAGTCGAACATGTCTGTTTTTTTTTTTTGCGCCATCGGTGAGAGAAAGAGAACGATGATTGGCTATTAAGCTTAGCAAACCAGTCAGTGCACGAGCAAAAAAGTGATGACGGTACAATATGAAGGCTGTTCTAATTTTACATAATCTTACCTGAGCATTCGATTGTGCGAATATATGCATGATTGATATTCAGAATGCTAAGTAAGCGCTGATTTGTTTACAGTTTGTTTATCTGTCGTCCTAGTTTCCGGTTTCTCTGATGATATTTACTTACACGCAGAAGCAGAACGCACAGCAAGTTGACAATAACCTTTAGTACTTTTGGTGTGTTCAAGTGCAGCTTTTTAGCCGAGACGCAACTGACGAGAGGTTTTGTTTTCGCCGCCGCTAGTTCTTTGACATTGGGTTGGTGTGTCCTGGGCTTTATGCTCCATTCTCAGTCTGAATAGTTTGGGATTTTCCAATTTAGTTGCGTTGGAGCTGCCGCCAAACATGACTTGCGATCGAAAAGTTTGTGCTGTTCATATATCTTTTTTTTTTTTCGCAGGTTTCGTCAGTTATGACAATCCCGTGTCAGCGCAGGCCGCCATTCAGGCAATGAACGGGTTTCAGATCGGCATGAAGCGTCTCAAAGTCCAGCTCAAGCGCTCGAAGAACGACAGCAAACCGTACTGATCTTAGCACTAGGGCCTCTCTCATGTTACACTGCTAGGGTAAGTCCCCACTGCTGCCACGGTTACTAAACTGGGACTCCGGGGGGGAGGGGGTGCACGAGAGGGGGGGGGGTTCCACCCTTTGACCACCAGGGGGAGCCACTCTCCCATAACCTTCTTTTCGGCTTTTATTTTTATTTTTTATTTTTGATTAATAACAGTATTATTACTTTGTCTCTTTTTTTTCTCTCTCCACATGAACGCTTCCATTTCCGCCATTTTTTTGTATGACTTGCGATGGATGAACAGCTATTATTGGTATTTTTTTATTTTTACTTTGGGTCATGTGTAAATTATTCGATTTTTTTTTTTTTTTTAAGTAAATATTTATACAGTGGCTATTTCATTCTATGATGATAACAACAGCAGAAAGGAACGATGTATAAAGTATTATTTGTTTCTCTTTGCGAACCTGAGGCTTGTAAAGACAAGTGGAGAAGGTTCCGATATGATTAAAAGCACCAATATGCACATTAACCTTTGCCCTTTGGCCTCTGGTGTCGGTTCAGGGCTTTGCTGCTCCTTCGAACCCTTGGCCCACTGGCACTAGAGAGGAAAGGGTTAAACCCGCTGTGGCCTCTCTGTAGTCAACGGCAACAACTGCCTAAACAGCTTCCTCAACAAATACTTGCCGTCAAATGTTCAGTGATTTTTTTTCTTTTTATTATTCTTTTTTTTTTTGTCAGTTTTTAGTTGTTGTTTTTTTTTGTTTGTTTGTTTTTTTGTGTCTTTTTATTTGGAAGAAAAAAAAATAGTCCGACTTTTATGCGTCAGATGATTGTGGTCTTTGTCCAACTGAATTTGTGTAGAGCATTAAAAAAAGATTTTGATCTGTCGATGGTTAAACAGAATAAATCATTCTAGGTTCTATGTGGAGGGGCGGGGAACTGAAAACTTGACGTTTATCGAAAGAAAAAAAAACTGAAATTGCAGAAAGCCACAGGCCTGTAAATTTTATTTGTAAAAAAATGCAGTTCTATTTTTATACAAAATTTCTACTGCCTCTGAAGTAAAGGACTTTATTTATTATCTTTTAAGTTATTGGGTTTGGAAAGTCGTGCTCTCTCTATCCTGAGCCTCGTCAGCTAGTCTTCTTAAACCATACAAACCACACGCGTGAGGAGATCACGTACAAAACCCCCTAGTTTTCTTTCTTTCTTCCTTTCTTTCTTTCTTTCTCTCACCATTTCCCACAATCCCATCTGTCACGTCCCCATCATATCTCTGTCTCGACTCTCTCTTCCTCTTCTCTCTTTGGTCATAAGTAGTGGCACTTCATAAGTGAAATCTCTCTTTTTCGTTTCGTTTCATTTCGTTTCGTACTGTTTGGTTTTTGTTCGTACGCTCAAAAAAAAAAAAAAAAAAAAAAAAACTTAATAGTTTCTCCCAAACGGCGATCCATCTGCGGTCTCGGATCGGAGATCGGACCAGGATGGATACTTTTGGGTGTGTGTCTGTATGGAGGAGATTTGAGTGTGTGTTTGTACTCTGTGAGTGAGTGCCTCATTTACATGTACGTGTTGGCAATCTATTCCAATTTTGTGTATTGTACGACTTAAAAAAAGAAAACAGTTAAAAATGCTAATGTGATGTTGGTGAAACGCTGGTTGATAGCGCTGCTGCTGCTGTTTGTTTGTTTGTTTTGTTTGTTTGTTTGTTTGTTCTCATGGTTTAATGATGTTAGTTGTGTGCCGGAGCTGTGTGTGTAACTCTCCTCTCCCGTTTTCTTCCCTAGAACTCATCTCCATGACTCTATGCTCATCGTTTGCCTAGCATGTCTACGTGGCGTACAAAAAAAAAAAAAAAAACGTCTCATCGTCCCGTCATTGTTTCTGATGTCTTTCTGAGTTCTCCTGCTCATAATCTGGTCTCCTTTTACTGATCTTTGTACTTTGATCTTAGCCTGATCTTTTTGGAAAAAAAAAATTTCGCATGTGACCTCATTTTGAGCTTTTTTGCCTGTTTTTGTTTGAATTTTGTTTTGTTTTGTTTTTGTTTCGATTTAACTGGTGAGGGAGGGAAGGAAGGAAGGGAGGAAAGACAAAAAAAACAGTAATAATAATAATGTGAAAACGCTGCATTCACACTCTAGAGACAGAGTATATTTACTAACATAACCAGAGCATCATTTTAAGAAAACAGAAAAAAAAAATTAAAAAAAAAATCCTGTGGCAAATCAATTACGAATATTTGCGTTTTACTTTTTTTTTAATTCTTTTTCTTTCTTTTTTTTTTTTGTCTGATTGTTTTTTTCTCTCTTTTTATGTTGTGTTGTTGTTGTTTTCTTTTTCATTCATTTAAAGTAAACTTGAACGTTCAATACAGGGATTGGCGTTGGGACTTACTGTTGGCAACACTCTTATTTTGAGGCCTGCCGTAAGAAACCCGCGCTGGTTTCTAAACGAATAGACTACTTCCACGCAGTTTTAATAAAAGAAAAAAAAAAAAAGCTGCCTGATCGATATTAGAATCTCTCAGAGCTTGCTCGTGGTTTTTACATTTTTCAGGCAGTGTAAAGGTTTTTGATAAGGCCATTTTAAGTGGCTTGATTTCTCATTAAAGTCTATATAAAACCACTTTTTTCTAGAGTAGTAAAGGTATTAAGAAAAAAAAAACACATATACACACACACACACATACACAAGATTGCCCTGTTTGGGGGGAGATGCTACCTACGTGTCACACCTTTTGCTGAACTGACTTACAGTTAGACAATCCGTGGTTTAAATGCACATGAAATGACCTATATTTTATACTGTTTAAATGTATAGAGGAAAAAAAACAGAGTTTGTGTAACCCGCGGTCCCGTCGGTGCTTTTCGTGGATAAAGTCGTGGTTTCATCAAGTCTAACAGTCTTATTTGTCTCATGTTTTTAAAGAGAAGACTAAAAATCAATTTACTTGAACAATAGACAAAGCCTTTCATACGTACTATTACTACTACCTTTTTTGTTTGGTTTATTATTTGTATTTTTTTTCTTTCTTTTTTTTGTTTGTTTTGTTTAGTTTTTTGTTTTTTTTTTGATAGGACTCCCTCTTTGCTAAATTTCTTGTTGGGTAATTAGCTATATAAAAATTATTAAAGTTTCAGTGTCAGCTTGTGAAGCATCTATGTCATTATATTATTTTATTTCTATTGTGGGAAACAATATTTAGATGTGTTATGTTGTTCAGCAAAATGTGATTTTTTTTTCTTATAAAGAAAAAAACAAGATGAGTGGAATTTAGTGCCAAATTCTGACGGTACATCCTGCCTACAGCTTCAGTGTTTTACTTGTGAAATTATTTGATAACATGGGTATTTTATTACGTAAGTGTTTTGTATGGAACCCTCATATTTAAAGATATAGATTTAAAAAAGGTTGTTAACTTGCTCTTCTGTGGTCTTGTTGCCTGAAAATGTTCATGTTTTTTGCTTTTCTTTCTTTTTTTCTTTATTTGTAAAGATGTAAAAAGTGCCCATGTGTCATAATCACTCTCACAAGCGCACACACACATACACACACACACACACACACACACACACACAAACTCACAGGTAAGCACATACGCATGCACGCATACACACACCTGTGCTAAAGGTTGACCTCACAACCCTCTTTTCTTTGACAGTGTGTGTATGTGAGCCCCTGAGATTGAGTCTCAGCAGTTCTCCTTATACACACACACACACACAGATTACGGGCCCTGTTACAACACAAAAGCCCCTATTAGGAGCCAAATTTCACAGGACAAGTGAACAATTTGTGTGATGGGACAAAATACTGACGCATTTAGGTGTTGAAATTTTGACCATCATTCATGATATTATACAGGGCCATCGCGACAGCCTCTTCACAAACCGAATCATCGAACAAAAGCTGATCTGTGTTCCTCTACGTTAAATTCTGAACGTCTCAGTGTAGTCTCGCTTCCTGCTGCCTTTATCGGGACTATTTTACGTTCGTAGAACAACCAAAACTCCGTCCTGACGCCAAAGTAGTTCAGCGTGATCCGCAGTGTTCGATAGCGCCTGTAGCACTTTGCTGTAAACGTTTACACATCCTTCAAACGGCTCGTAAAAAAAAAAATATTGTTTACAAACGTAGTTTACAGGCAGCCCCCTTAAACCAGTTTACTTCACTCTATAGCACTATTTTATACCCAAGCTCTGCCGTTGCCTTAACACGTTGATCAGTATTAATGGGCTGGAATACATTGCTGCACATTTAAAATGTGTGCCAAGGGTGTGTGTGTGTGTGTGACTGTACATGTGTGTGTGCTATGATTGGTTGTTATCTGTCTATTCGTTCACAATATTTCTAATCATTAGCCAAAACTGGATCTGCAAAAATTTGGGACAGTTACAAAAACAAAAACAATAGGAACTCATTCATGAGACGAGAATCAAAAATTCGCCTACAAATTCTGTAAAATCATTCTGAAGTGAATGTCCATAAAGAATTCGTATAAATTGTTTGTAAACATGATTAACTCTTTCCCCATCATTGACGGAAATTTCTAAGCACAATGTAGTATACATTTTTTGACCTATGAACATAATTATATATTCCGAAATTCACTCTTCTCATGTTTCACGAATGAGCCTTGGGCCGGAAATACGTTTGCCTATAAGTTACCCCCTTACACCGTGTCCTAACTACACACGACGGCGACGCGATAAAATTCCAGCGGCAGCAAGTGTGTCTGTCCACAGTAGACGCGACTGTGAGACGCCACACGTCAATCAAAAATCACAGCCATTCAGAACAGCGTGTGGGCGGAGTCTCTCTGTGAAAGCGCACTGCTGACCCGCACTCGCATTGGACATAATCAAATCGAGAAATAACATTAATAAAAATCAAAACATTAACAAAACATACTCATCGACTAATTTTGTTATGAAGTACAGTTGTACGTTTGCATAGAATTCATTTTGAACGTTATATTATATGCTTTCAAAATCTGAGGTAAATTATCCGTTATCGCTTGTGGCACAGTGACCTATTTTTAACTAAAAATAAATAATGTGTACTTATAACCAGTGTAATATCTCTGTGTGGGCGGATCTGTCAGTCGCAGAAATAGGAACAGTTTCTAAATTAGAAACTTAACAGACGCCGTCGCGTCTGGTTAGGACAAAAACTCTTGATTAACATGGAAAAGATTACTTTTATTGTGTCGCGGCGTCACGTGTAGTTAGGACGAACGGTGCGGATCCACTTGTCCGACACGACAGTCACGTGGTGTCGCGACGCCTCCCCACATTTGTACTTTGATGGGCGTTCCTCAAGTTTACCGCTATGGGCGTGGTTTTGAGCCAGCGGCCAGTCTAGAACAGAGGACCTGCGAGAGACTTCCCGCTGTCTCCATATGCTCTACTTCTATTGGATAGTCGCGGCGCGTTCAACGGACTTCATTTGCATAAAGATGGGCAACGGCCAGCTTTTTGACGTGCAGCATTTTTCCAAATGAAGCGCCGCCTTCCCGGGATGCTTTGCGGGTGCGTTAAAGTCGCGTGACGTCACCCATAGGAATAAAGCGGAGCGTGTAAATTAGACACTTTGCGTGTCGCCGTCGCGTCTGGTTAGGACAAAAACTCTGATTAACATGTGAAAGATACCTTTTATCGCATGTCGCGTCACGTGTAGTTAGGACACAGTGTAAATTAGAAACTTCGCGTGCCGCCGTCGCGTCTGGTTAGGACAAAAACTGATTAACATGGGAAAGATACCTTTTATCGTGTGTCGCAGCGTCGCGTCACGTGTAGTTAGGACATGGTGTTAGCTTCATATTGGGAAGTTCGAGTCAAGTCAGGTTTATGATATACTGCTCTCTTTGCCAAATCGTATAACCACTAGCACAAACGCAAAAGCACATGCGCATTAGCACAGCGTTAACACGCAGTATTAAAACTGACGACTTCTTACGCACACCCAGTACAGCAGTCAATGTCGACTTGTTGAAAGTGGAGAATTGTAATAATGCAGAATTTTAGTTTGGCCTCATTTGATTGGTTTGACTTGATATATCACTCTATAATGAACTGCGGTGTTCGTATACCACACTTCATCACAATCAACTTCGAGACTTCAGACAAACAGGGTAAGCATTCACGGCCTGCAGTTTCACACACACACACATTTGTTAGATGTTTAGTAAAGCACAAGCTCACAGGGGTCCGCAGGAGTTCTCGCCGAGACTCTTCTCTCAGGGGTTTTACACACCGCACGCATCTGAAATCTGTTTGTTGTTTCTTTTGTTTCTTTCTTTCTCTTAAGTGCTATTTAACAAGTGTATTTTAAAGGAAAAAAAGATGTGTAGTTTCTTTGCATTTTGGCTTACGTCAAGTTTTTTGGAAATGTATGTGTTTATCTAATGTGCCGTAACAAAAGCTTGTCGTCTGTAGATTAATATCATTTCGTTTGATTCTAAAAAGATTTAAATAGTTTTAAGTATTGTCTTGAGAAAAGCCAAAGTCAATGCATTTCAGTGGATTCTGTAAGCGTGATACATGTTTGTTTGACAACACTTTGAAAATCTGTCATTGGATGGGAATTTAAAAAGTACAAAAAAAGCAGGCTTTCCTATTTCTATCACTGATTGTACTTATGCCTTTTGTACCAGTGGAACTTTTTATACTGGCAATTAAAGGAAAAAAAAAAGAAAAAAAAAACTATCCGACAGGCTGCGCGGCCCCAGCCAGGGGCCGACAGCGTCTGGTTCCCGAGTTTGATTTCTAGTTGGCGTCCAGAACGTTAGGTTTTGATATAAAGATTTTTTAGGAGAAACTTTGGCTTGGTATCTTTAGCCTCCTCTTCTTTATTCTTCACATCGATATTTGCTTTCATGTTTTCTTTGGTTCATTTTCCTTTTTCGGAAAGAGGGTCGGGAGTTTTCCTTTTGGCTTATAAATACGTAATGCGGTTTGTCTTTACAAAAGAGTCTTTACAACAGCGGTAAGTTTCATTTAGTTAAGTATTGTGCTGTCACCATGATAAAGACGATTAGACGATTTAGAAGTATTTAGTCACCTTCAGTGGATAAATGTATTAGTTTGACAAACAAGATAAAAGTAAATTTGAGGACTTTGCTTTTAGCTGTTTAGATTTTTCTGGTTTCTCTGTCTTTGCTGTTAACCTAACTGTGTAGCTGGAACAGTCAGACTTATTTTTGTAAATGTATGTTCTTGTGTGATGCAGTTTTTTGCCTCTGTCTCCGATATTAAACCATTTTTCCTAATACTCGTCTCTTTCTCTGTGGCGTGGTGTTCCAGTACCTGTCCGGTGTTGTACAAATGTTCACGCAACCCTCCGGTGTTTCACGTCTCTTTTCTATCTCCCTTTTCACTTTTTTTATGTGTTTCTTGGATATTTGGTTTTGTTTCAGTTTTTCTTTATTTACATTGCGATTCATTTCAGTCTCGTCACCAAACATGGTAAATATACATAAAGATTTATATATGTATATTTCTGTGCAGCCCAACTTGCTGTAACAGTAGACGGACAGCCTTTCCGTGCTCTATTTACGAAACACCCCTCTTTTAGTTGTGTAATGTTTTGACCTCAAAGCGAAGAAATATTCAATTTGTAAAAATGGACCTCTTTTGTCCTGCTAGATCTGATTCAAAATGTAATGTAAAAACTCAACAATGGGGTCGAGGATTGCATAAAACTGAAGGTGCCGACTAAGAGGTCACACTGTTCTGTACTGTACTGTACCGCTGCTCTGGGCGTAGCCCCCGTCTGTCCTCCTGTCTGTGTCCCTATCCACTATGTGCTGTCCATGTGTCCACTGCATCCCTACAGAGATACCAGAGAGACCCAAATCAATTAACTAACATTATAAAGTGAGTCAAATGATACTCAAGTGTTTTTGGAAATGCCAGATAGAGCAGGTGTCAGGAATTCAGTGCTTGATTTTGTTTTGCGTAATTATACGGGATAATATACATTCAAAAAATAAATACTGTCATCATTTACTCACCCTCATGTCGCATCGAAATACATATGATTTTGCTGAACACAAAAGGAGATGTTTTGCACCAGGCACACTTTTCCGTAGAATGAAACTGGATGGGGACTTTTACTGTATCAGGCTCCAAATGGGACCAAAAATATGGGGTTAGAATTGTTGCTTTATTCCAAAATAAATAGATTCTTATATACAAATAAAAAAAAAATTCAAATTCACAACATATGAAGGTCCACAAATAAATGTAAAAGTGTTTCACCAAAAAATTATAAAATTCATAAATAAGTAAAATGAGATTTTTTTTGTGTGTGTGTGCAAATGTTTTATGATTTTAAAAACACAACTGTGCCTGCACTCTAAAAAATGCTGGGTTGTTTGCTTGGGACAACCCCATATGTTGGGTTAAAAATGCAATAAAAAAAATTACAGTTGAAAGTGAAAGTTGAAGTTGGGTTAAAATTTGAAATTACATTTTTAACCCAACATTTGGGTTTGTCCATATTTGACCCAAATTTGGGTTCAAACAACCCAGCATTGTTTAGAGTGTGGCATTTATTTGTGAACCACTTTCAATGCATTTGTTAATCACTGCTCGCATTTGTGAATTGCTTCTTTTGTATTTGAAAATCAAAACAAAATCCACAAAGAAGTAGACTCCACACACCGTTTACTCAAGCCAATCAGGACACAAATTGTACACATTTTTTGTGAAACTCTTTACATTTATTTGTGAAACTTAACCTATTTGTATGGAATAATGCAACGATTCTATCCTCATACAAAAACGCCATAGTCCACACTATTTTGGGGTTGCACTGCTCCTTTATTTCTGAAATTCCTCTGAAAACTGCATTTCTAAGGTGGAAAAACAGTACAGATGAAGAAATGAAGAGGTTTGTGTTGCACACATCTAAGGACAAACTTTGTTTAAACACTTCTTTACCTTACCGGGGGTACAAAGCAGTAAAAGTGTGTCACAGTAGTTATCTTTAAAGGGTCCATGTTGCTGTGTTTTCAGATATGACGCTGTCAAAATACGTTACATGAGAATCACTTCAGAGAGGGGGGAAGCAGAACTAAGAAGAGTCCGTGTCACTTTGTAAAAACTGAATTTGGGAATATAACAAAAAAAAATCTGAAAACTTTATCAAAGACGACTGCTGCTGGAACACACAGGCATCAGATCAGACACGTACAAAAGAGTTTCTTCTGGCTCTGAGCTAGAGAAATGGGGGGGGATAGGAGGGGGGTGGGAGGGCTGGATCCGACCACGAGCGATGGCTGCAGGTAAGACTGAACAACTGAACAAACCAAACCTGAGGTAATGATGCATCGTATCTTATAGGCGAATGCCTCTGGTCTGTATTGTAGTTACGATAAATACAAATGTATTAGTAGGCCTTACAGATAAAGACCTTGAGGAATATGAAACTATTGTCTGGTTTTCGCTGACTTGTGTTAATTAAGATTTATTTGACACTATAACTGGCCAAACTACTGCCATGGTGAAAAACAATCAATATAATTAACCACCAAACATGAATGGCAGAAATGACGTATAATGACTTCCTAATGTAGCTAATATGCGAGAATTTGAATCTAAATCAGAGAGAGGGAGAGAGATAAACATTTAAGGGAGAAGTTACCTCATAAATCTCTCATTAATACATCACAATGAACTAAAACAATGGTGAGGAATATTTTAAAGTGAATACTTTGAAAGCAACAAGGAGAGAATAAAAGACTCCCATAAGCTGCACAATGTAAATGCATTCTAACTTTTTGAATTCTAAGCTTTTGTTGGCCTCTAGTGGTCACCTCCTGTAACTGCATTAAAACAATCGCAGATCACGTGGGTATTCACTCATAATCAAATACATTGTGTCTCGTTTGTATTTTAGATTGATCTTGAAGGACAATTCTTCGGTAAACATATCTATAAAAAAAATACTGTCACATCCGGTATTACAGCGTATTTTGGCATATCAGTAGCTATTATATAGTAATCATCATACACTACCACAGTAGGCTACATTTATTATGGCAGGCATTACCTTTACATTATTGAATCAAAGTACTTCCACTAGGCTTTAGCAAGTGATGTCAAACTTAAAGTAAGTGCTTTATATAATAGGCTAGGCTGCATTAACAAAGCCAAACAATGCAAAGTCAACACACTTGACAAACAAGACATAAGAAGACAAACGGTTTTTCACGCCTGGATTTGTCTGAGCTAGTAAGTACACACTTCACAAATGGTCTGTGAAATGCTCCTGTGAAATTATCACATACTTATATAATAAGACAATGCTGAAATAATATGATTTCATGAACACGTTGCGGGTAACTGTTTAATGTTCTCGTCACACGCTACACCTACTATTGTAATAACAGTAAATTATGCTTTATTACAATAAGCTATACCTAAGCCTATAGTATATATATATATATATATATATATATATATATATATATATATATATATATATATATATATATATATATTTTATATATATTTATATATATATATATATATATATATATATATATATATATATATATATATATATATATATATATATATATATATATATATATATATATTTACAGGTAAGTCATTAAGAACAAGTTCTTATTTACAATGGCGGCCTGACAAGTGGAATAATCCCTTAGGGAAATGAAATGGTGCTAAAATACAGTAGCCTCTTAGAGTGAGATACAGGTTAACAGCTATAAGTTCATGTTCATTAATATTACTCAGTACGTATTTGTGTAAAAAAAAGTTGCTCAATCGTCACGTTTATTAGACTACTGCCCCTTTAAGACCGAATGCAGAACTCTACTTTACGCTTTTGCAAAAGCGTCCTATATGGCGCTTTGGGATGAGAACGGGCTCTAATTGATGTCTGATGCACCATCATTTTCTCCCAACTATTTACGTCCAATTAAGACATAAACTGTGTTTAAATGAATCTCAGAGCAGGTCATTTTATATTTTATGTATATTTGATGGTTTAGATGCGCACATGAAGCCCAAAATGAGGCGATAGCCTACTTTTCTTGTCTCGTTTTAGTGCATTTCGGAGCGCGCGTAACAACGTCTCTTGCGCAGACTTTTGTGCCTTAAATTAAGTACAATCAACTTGGATGTTTAAGTCAGTTCAATTTAAATGACATTAATATTACAAGGTACAATTACAATGTATCAAGGACACCTAACCAAGCGTTCTAACAGTTGAAATAAGGGTTGTAGAGTAGTTACATACTTTGGCCACCAGATGGACTCGTTACTTTTTAAATTGTTCTGAGCAAGAAGATCATAATGACACTTATAAGACTAAACTAACCCACCGAAACATTACAGCATTAAGTTACACAAATTAAATAATTAAAAAATAATAATAAATTAAAAAAAATAAACAAACAATACATTTCAGAAACATCCCTTCCTAGCAGCCAATATACTGTCACGTAAGTTTGTTTTTTGTTTTTTTTAAGGACATAATACTTATCACTAATACTATAATAGGCAACTATTTAATTGTTAATTTTAATAGTAATAAGTCTGTGGCATTATAACTGTCTGACACTAAGTAATTAAATGCTGAACTTTGCTGGCCAACTTCAATAAATAATAATAAATTAATTTATATGCATAGAAGGGCTAAACATGCATCAGTCATCACAACGCTGAAGACAGGAATGTAACTGTATGATTGTTGCATAGCATTGTGCTGATGATGTGGGCAGTGTGTGTCGGGTGCGCGCGAGCACCTGAGCTGCAGCTGCAGGGGTTTGTTTCCATAGCGAGCGCGCTCACTCACTTCAGTGGGAACACGGTGGACTTCCTGATGCCGGACAATGCGTGTATTTCGCTCGCATTTACGCCATAGAGTCGCGTAAAGGGACGTAAGCGGAGCGCGGACGCGAGCTACAAAGGTAAATGCGGATTATTGATCAATTGTGTTCGGGAGATGTTGACTATGGTGAAGTTATGTGTGTTTTCTATGCTAAAGTAGCGCTAGCGGGGCAGTTTGAGCCCCTCAGAGTCAAACTGGCTGTGGGAGGGAGTTTAAACCTTGGAGATAGGGCGATATGATTGATTGTACATGTCTATTAACTGTAACTGACAGAAATACTGCTTTGTTTACTCTAAAGTTGTTTATAATTGTATTCAATGAGGCCTAGCGAGCCAAACGTTCGGACGGCCTCCAGCAGTAGGATTGATGCAGATGGGCTGTTGATTATCACAAATGACGCGCGCTGAT